AACAGTGGGCCAGCGTGCTGGCAGGGGAAGTAATTTACCTCCCCTCATGTTCTCTCTCCGTGACACTACACTGAGAGCCAAACACGTGTCCATGCAGGCATCAGGCAGGAGAACAGAAATTAATTTGCTTCCCCCTGGAAACTCAGAGGCTGCATGCTTACCTGCCATGCTTATCTTTGCCACCCTGTCCTCAGATGATGAGTGAAATTTCTGCGGTTCTGCTTTTCCATAGAGAAGCCTCTTGTTTGCTTAAGAATGAGGAAGTCACTCTATTAAGTGTTCCTGTCACTGTGAGGATATTCTTCAGCATGGTAGCTCTGTTTCCAAACTCAGGTCCTCTTTTGATGGTTTGTGCTGCTGACTTCGGAGCACCTCGGAACAGGAGTCTCCCTGTGGGTACTCTGTCCCTGTCATGCACAATGCCCTAGGGTGTAGCTTATGGGTCTTGGAGAAGTCCCCTAAGGGCAAACAAATGATGGGACTCCTCTACCTTCTCTTCTACAAAGTCAGAGATGTCCTGGAGAAGCCTTTGTTCCCTTTTCTTGTTTCTATTTTTCATTTGTGCTCTACTCTATGACCTGGACCCATTAAGGAACATGAAGACAGATTAAATTTGTCTTCAGAAGTCACAGCTGCCCTCCAAACCAAAATATGCTGGTGAATCTTCAGACCCCACAGCATCTGTGGGCCTTGGGCTCCCATGGAGCCCCTCTGCATGCCCTCAGAGAAGGCATCCTTGCTCCGGCCGCCCTAAGAGGGTGCATCCCCAGCACCTGCTGCAGACACCAGCATGCTGCTCACCTAGGCAGGGCCAGCAAGGAAAGATCTAGCTGGTGAGAGGTGGAAAAGGGAACTCACACAGAGCTGTGGCAGGAGGGTCTATGGTAAAGGGAGGCTCTTCTGTGGGAAGTGCCTATGGGGGAAAAAAAAGGATAAGTCAATCTTGAGATGCGGCAACCACAGAGAATTTCTCTGGTGTCAGTGTTTTCCATTTACAAGAAACTGAGATTTTTAAACTATGTCTAGAATCCAGCCATTGCCCAGCAAGAGCCTCTCCCTGTCAGCACTGTGACACCACAGGCCAGACCCTCACCTATTCCCAGGGGCTCTCACCTTTTCCACTGGGTGTCCCAATAGGTTATCCTCAACTGTGACCATAGGAGACTGTACCCAGGTGCAATGGATCAAGGGTCATTTCCTCAGAGTCATATTTAATTGGACTGTTATGCTGTGGCATTGGCACAATTTTGAGTTCCTGAGATGACTGTAGGAAGTCTAGTGTCAGTTTAGAAGGAAGTAAAGGCCTGCTTCCAACGTTCTTGCCTTTCCCAATCAAGTGAAAAAATAAAGATAAAGAGGTTGTTATCCCTGCTGTAGAGAGGCTACAAGCTAGATGGAACAGTGGCCACTCTCCAAGGCACCAGTCTCAGTGTCCCCAAATTAAATGCCCACCATGAAGGACTGGTGAGGAGCTGAGTGGCACAATGTTCTTAAATTCATTCAGCACCAGTACCATCTTAGGACAGGTTAAAGATTGTTAAACAAAGTGATCAAAACACCAATCACAAAGGGAGTGAATTAGAAACAAAGTGGCAAGTTAGACATTAAAATTAAGAATTTATTGAGCAGTAAAATGAAGAATCTGTGATTATTGGACAATACAAGCCACTGACTGGGAAAGTATCTTCACTACACAAATATTTGAAAAGAACTCATTTCTAGGTTTTAAAATTTCTCTGCAAGTCAAATTTCAAAAGAGACAATATCCAACATGGGTGACACTGGCAAAGGAACTGTTTAAAAAATATTTCCAAATGCTCATTTAGCTTATAGTAAAGCACTCAGCACCATCCAGAATCAGGAAGAAGCTAGTTACCAAAAATCCACATGGGATGCTGTCATTTCTCCATCAGGATGTCTAAAATAGAATGTCAGTGATCAAGAACATTAGACACTTGGAATTCCATACAATTTCACTGTTGTGTGTGTGCGCGTGCACACACATACACACATACACATGGGACCGCACATACATACTCCAAGAGACACGCCCAGAGTGACGGTGGCACTCTCAGTAGAAGCTATCATTTTTCCTCGCTTCTTGAGTCTCAGGCTTGCTGACTGGTTCTCAGCAGAGCACCCATGAATCTTGGCCTGGGAGCTCTGCCTGGTCACAGGAACATGTTCACCTACAACTGAAACAGGCTGGACGTGCCCTGTTGTGGGTACCCCTGGATCAGCCATCAGCCACAGGAAACATTGCATACCTGGCTTGTGAACAGGCCAGAGTGTTGCACTCAGTTCCTGTCTACACACATACAGCCCCCAGCCTGACTCACATTTTGGCCCTGCTTTCGTCCCCTTTCTTTCTATCCCATTGTTCCTGCCCTTTGGAAGGGGGATGGATATCTTGTGCCATTGTTTGCCAGCAGTGTTTAACTTCGTCTTGATTTTTACAGGGGCTCGCAGCTAAGTGTCTGTCTCAAGTCTCAGAATTTGGGCTTGAACTTTCCAGCAGTGCTGAAATTGTTAGCACTTGGACCACCCTTAGAGATGGATGAAGTGCATTTTTGATAAAGGGATGCACATGAGTCCTGTGGGGGCCAGGGGCAGCATGCTTTGGTTTATATCCAATTGTTCACCAAGACCAAGAGCCCCACGTGCTCATAAGCAGGGATTCTGGAAGGTATGGATTATGGGGTTTGTAGCCAGCTTACCGTTAAGAGGTAGGGTCTGGTCAGAAGAGGCAGTCACTGGGAGTGTGACCTGGAGGATTCACTTCCTCTGACCTCCTCCCTTCTCTGCATCTCAGTCACCATGCCCTGGCAAAGCCTTGGCCATATTAACCTTCCAGAACCCTTTCCTGGGTGTCCCTTAGAAGGATCACAGCCACCAAGGGGACACACAGTTCTTGTGGGTGCCCTTCCCTGGGCCAGGTCCTTCCTGGGCCTCCTTCATACGGCACTGTCCAGCTGCTGAGCACTCTGGTTAACAGTGAGAAAGCTCCAGAGGTCTCGTCCTGAGCAGTAGGCAGGGGCAGGCAGGGAACCATTCTTCCGATTTCCCGTCTTTGGGCCACATGGTGTTTGCAAATGATTTCATCTGCTGTAGCCCGATGTTGATCCCTTCACCTCATAACTTCTTTTGAGGGAGATGCAACCTTCTGCCTTCTCCTCTGCATTTGTACTGCAGCTCATCAGATGAGCTCAGGGACACTCCTGAGGCCCAGGGGTGCAATTTTTATTAGTATTTACAATGTGGCCCTGGGCAGTACAAGCCCCCTTTGCTCGGGGTCTCTTCCCAGCCATACTGCTGTCTTTCCTTATTTGGACTTCTGGCAGAGAGGAAAGAAAAAGAAAAAGGAAAAGAAAGAACCCATTTAATTTCCTCCTGCCGTTGACCTCTGACATTTCTCAGGAACGGACTTGACTCCTTTCCACAGAATGGGCCTTGGGAGGGCAGATCTCCTTGGTATTAAACCTCGCAAATAAATCCGTGTGAGCCTGGGGTCAGGCTCACTGGGTCATGGGCTACCCTGAGAAACCACTTGCATAACCTGTGTCCACAACAGGCTCCCTCTGAAGATACGGCCCTGATTCTGAGGCAGTAGAGCGGTGAAAGGCTTGAAATTAAAATTTGGGGCAGATTCTAAGTCATGTTTTAAACTTCTGCCTCGTGCTGGCCCTTCGTGTTTTCTCCTTTTCGCTCCTGCTCTTGTGTGGCAATGCAGCACCAGTGACGTCATGTCTTTCCAAGGTGAAGTGATTTGTTGTCCGTCTCCGTTGATGTTGCTTCCTTGTGAGGTCAGTGTGAGAAACACCAAGCTCCTCAGAATTCTCCCCCACTACAGATCCATGCAGCTGATCACTGGAGAAGTGGGGTTCAGCAGCCTGGGCCTGGGCTATTTGCCTAGTGAGCTTCTGGGCCTGGCGATGACTCCAGATGCACCTGGAGGGCGGCAGGGTCCATGCTCTAGGCCTTCACTGTGCTGCCACTTGCAGTCCCACAGCTGCGCAGAGAGAGCTTGCTTTTCTCACAGGCCTCTGTGAAACAGTACACAGCTAGAGCAGGTGTGAGAACACGTGGCCACGGGTTCACAGACTTGGCAGGAGGCCGCTCACAAAGCAGGGCACCAGTGCATCCCGAGGACAGTGCCAAGGAAAGGCTGAGAGGCTGAGGGGCGGGAGGGCACTGACACTCAGGACGCAGCGCTTCCCTCCGCACTCACGGGCTGTCCCCACAGCACAGCTGCTTGGGGGGTGTCCCTCCTAAATGCCAGCTAAGACTTAAGAAATTTATAAAAGGTAATGAGGTGACAGCAGACCCAGACACTCCAGGGAGCTGTGATTGGGAGAGGAAATGCAGACACTCAGAGACCCCCAGGCTGAGGCAGGCCACTTTCCTGCTGCCTTGGGAACAAACTTTAATACTCACCCACACACTACAGCAGTTGGCAACATGGACAGGAGTGTGTTAGGTATAGACCCGAGGGTGTGGTCAGTCGGAATGAATGTGCTCCAAACAGTCAAAGTTGAAGTCGAAGGATTATGAATGATTCTCAGTTTTTTCTTTATGAATCGCCTGGACTATTTAAAAGTACATGATATACCTATGATGAACAGATGTCTTAACTTTCTATTTTCATGAAAATAAAGTGAGAAGCTAGTTGATGACTGTACATAAATAGGTATTCAATGAATCCTGAGTTGGCACCCATACCCCGTGTGGGGTCCCTCAGAAGAGCATCTGCTCACACGCAGCGCAGGACTGCAGGCTTGTGGCCTCCATCTTACATGACACACTCCCCGCCGCCCGCATTGTGTCAGGAGAGCCAATCTATGAATGCCTAAGTACGCCCGAGCTTTTGATGTGCACGTGCAATGGTAACTGATGAATTACATTCACTTCAGTCTCACTGTTTGTCACAAAGCAATTGACTGATCACACATAAGATTCCTAATTAAGCGTTCTTTTCTCTCCTTTCATTCTGCACGTTGCAGCCCCATTCATCCCAAATAAAGACGAAGACAGCATCGTCAAGTTTGACACTTTTGGAGATGGAATGGGGCGATACAACGTGTTCAATTTCCAGAACGTGGGTGGCAAGTACTCCTACCTGAAGGTCGGTCACTGGGCAGAGACCTTGTCCCTGGATGTGGACTCCATCCACTGGGCCCAGAACTCCATCCCCACCTCCCAGTGCAGCGACCCCTGTGCACCCAATGAGATGAAGAGCATGCAGCCGGGCGACGTCTGCTGCTGGATATGCATCCCTTGCGAGGCCTATGAATACCTGATTGATGAGTTCACCTGCATGGACTGCGGGCCTGGGCGCTGGCCCACGGCTGACCTGTCAGGATGCTTCGATCTTCCTGAGGACTACATCAAGTGGGAAGACGCCTGGGCCATCGGCCCTGTCACCATCGCCTGCCTGGGCTTCATGTGTACCTGCGTAGTCATAACTGTGTTTATCAAGCACAACAACACACCCCTGGTCAAAGCCTCGGGCCGAGAGCTCTGCTATATCCTGCTGTTTGGGGTCGGCCTGTCCTACTGCATGACATTCTTCTTCATTGCCAAGCCATCGCCCATCATCTGTGCCCTGCGCCGGCTGGGGCTGGGGACTTCCTTTGCCATCTGCTACTCAGCCCTGCTGACCAAGACAAACTGCATTGCCCGCATCTTCGATGGGGTCAAGAACGGCGCACAGAGGCCCAAGTTCATCAGCCCCAGCTCTCAAGTCTGCATCTGCCTGGGTCTCGTTCTGGTGCAGGTTGCGGTGGTGTCTGTGTGGCTTGTCCTGGAGGCCCCTGGCACCCGGAGGGACACCCTCCCTGAGAAGCGCGAGAAGGTCATCCTGAAGTGCAATGTGCGCGACTCCAGCATGCTTATCTCGCTGGCCTACGACGTGGTCCTGGTGATCCTGTGCACCGTGTACGCCTTCAAGACAAGGAAGTGCCCCGAGAACTTCAACGAGGCCAAGTTCATCGGCTTCACCATGTACACCACCTGCATCATCTGGCTGGCCTTCCTGCCCATCTTCTACGTGACATCCACTGACTACAGAGTGAGTCTCGGTTGGGTTCCTGTCCTTTTGTCCTGACTGGTTCCATCTTTCCCTGTTCTTTGTCTTGCATCCTGTCGGTGTGTGTCACGTTGTGGAGATTTAAAATCGACTCTTTTTGCTTCATCTAGGAATGGGCTCAGTGTTTACAAAGGCCATAAAGAGCCTTGGTATCACGGAAAATTTAAGTCGATATGTTTTAAATACATTGAGCCAGCACCTCCCTTGTTCAGACCGTAGAACTAGGCCCAGTAGCAAAGATAAATGTGCGTGTCATGCCATCCAAGCATTTACAATCTAGTGGGAAAGAAAATGCATGTTTAAATTTAAAAGTGACAGCCAAAGAATAAGACATCATCACTAAGAACTAGTGAGAATATTTCAAATTAGACACAGCAGGACTTGGCTACAATAGATCAATCTGTAAATTAAAATACACCTGCAACGTTAAACTAGGATCAGTTGAAAGATCTAAAAATTTCATTCATGCTCTATTACTTTTATAAAAACTGATTACAGTGCCACGCTGTGCCTTGTCTAAAACTTTAGTCATGTATACAAATATGCTCTGTCTCTGTGTGAGGAAAAGAGAAAGGAGAGGAAGGGAGAGAGGCCTTGGACTAGTTAAAAAACCTTGCTGTACATATGCAAGACACCTGATTAAACCATTATAGACCCTTAGTAAAGTTAAATTCCTGGAATTCATAATTGTCATCTCTTCTGAAAGAAATTTTATTCTTCCATCACGATTTCCCAAATTGTTGCAACGGTTCACTGGCTATTTTTGCATTAATAATTCTGACTTCAATATCTGACAGTGAGTGGGTATCAGAATTTTCCCCCAGGCACTTGGGTTTCATTGTCTGTAGTTCTGAGGTCAGAATGGATTAAAGTTCCCCAGAGGTGCATGGCCTCTGGCTCCCCAGGATTTCACAGAATGAACTGTCCCATTTGTGGGCGTAAGCCCCTTGTCTTTTGCCTACCAGAATCTAGAAAGCTGCTCCCACAAGAGGATGCAACAGATACAAGATTTTGGTTAGAAGAGGAGGAAAAGATTGGAGATGGTGTGGGGTGCTGTGGTCACCACGTCACTGTGAGCAGGTTTTCAACACTGTCACCTCTAGAAATGGGGAGCAGAGCAGGTGTCAATTAACTCATTCAGCCACTCCTCAACGTATCCCCCTTTCAAAGCTTCATGTCAGCTGCGGTAAACAGTTTTCGTCAGTTAGAAACGGACTTTTGAAGGTTTTCTATTACATGTCTGCAGTACATAGTGGTCACACCCCTGTGGGGAGTGGCACCTGGGGCCTCACCCCTGCCTTCGTTTTCCCCTCCCCTGCCCCCTCCTCCTCTGCCTCTCCCATTTCCTAAAGATCTGTCTCCCTGCTTGCTATTATCTATTGTTTACTTTACTCTTTGATTTATTAAAAATGATGCTTTTCACTTTGTACACTCACAATACCTAGCACAGCTAAGTGGAATTGCAGAAGTCACAGATTTTCTTAGCAACCCTGCCAGCCGTGAGTGAACAGGAGAAGTGCGAAAGGGAGGCTGCTGCTGCTCTAACGCCGTGGGTTTCACACCTGGCCATGCATTGGACATGCTGAGCAGTGTGTCGGGACAGGCTCCAGCGAGCCTCAACACCTCACTGCTCTGCAGCCTGGGCCCAGGGCTTTTCAGAGCCCACATGTTACTCGCTACAGCCCCTGCGGAACCCAACAGATGGGAAGTTTGACTCACAGTGTTGCAAAATATCTGTCAAAGTTAGAAAGTTGACAAAAGGCTTCCCTTATCAAAGGAAAGCACAGCAAGTGGGCCCAATTCCTACCTGTGAAAGGGTGGCACTGACTCGGGCGGAGCACTCTCCTCCACCCCCAGCGCCACCTGTCCCTCTATCCTGCACCTGCCCCTGCTTCAGGAGCCTCCCAGAGCTCTGCAAGCCTTGGCACATGAAACCCTCACTCTGGAACTCCAAAGCAAGATAGACCAAAAATTTCCCAAGGGAGATGCAGGAGCCCAAAGTGAATCCGCAGCTTTAGAAAAATATCCAGCATGCTAAGGGCAACTGGAAAGATTCTGAGCACCAACCAGAAAGGCTCACATCTCAGTACTTGTGCTATCCATGGCAAGTTACAAATAAATATAAAACACTGCTCCAGCCTTCAGAAGGTTTATATCCCAACTTGAGAGAAAACATCACATATGAAAGAACTTGAGGTTAACACAGAATCATTAGTAATAAACTCTCTGTAGGGTTCACAAGCATTCAGATAGTAAGAGCCTGGTCTTCCTAGGAATATGACGTGTGGTTTTATTCTTTACTTGGGTGGAAGGTACAAGTAAGGTCACTAGAGAATCTAGAGAATGCTCCTATGGTAGAACAGGAATGACCACCTGTTGTGGTCTGTGGCTGTTGTGACAGCTTGTGTCTAATGTCCCCCAGAGCTTCACACAGTCATAGGTGGGGCTTTTCCAGAGGTGACGACTCTAGATTCTGTGATGGTGGGATTGGGTCATGGTGCCGTGGAGGACCCCGGGCACTAGAAGTATGGTACAAGTGCCATCTGCCCTAAGTGGCCTGGTAGAATGTGCGGGGCAGGTGAACTGTTACCCTTGTTGCTACCTTCTGCCCCATGAACCACAGCTCTGCAATGCTACCCTGCCTCGGAGCCGCCTGCTTAGGGATTGAAACCTCTGCTAACTGTGAGCTAAATAAACCTTTCCTCCATTATCTTCGGGCATCAGGTATTTTGTTTCAGCAATGAGAAAAATAACTAAAGTAGCAGGCATGCTGGTCCCACTCTGTTGGAAAATGGCCGGGGCTGGTGAGGGACGGTGGAAACTAATGGAAATTGGCCACTTGACCAGAGTATGCCAGCAAAGGAATTCACTCAGTCTTTGGACTTTATTTCTTTATTGTATTTTATTTTATTTTATAATTATTTATTGTATCTTTATTTTAATGTATTCATTTTGTTTTCTTTTTGTGATTTGATTGCTTAGGCAAAAAGTGACATGGTGCAGATAAAAGGGAAACGAAGTGACCCTCCTCTCCTGGGCGCCACGCTCTACCAGGGTCTTTGCATTCATGAGCACACTCATCATCCTAAAACCCTAAAAGCAGTTTTTTATCCATCCAAGAGATGAGTAAACAGATGTAAGGAATAACTAACTTCCTAAGTGACACCATTATGAAATGAGAGTTTATCTTTTATTCAAATCCATTCCCTTGATACTGCCAGGAATTACCTATCCTGAGCAGGACGATGGATTTCAAGGGCTCAAACAAAGAGGACTAACTAAATCTGAAATAAACATCCAAGGAAGAGCAAGAACTTGGATAAGAACCCGAAATTTCAAAGGATCTTCGAGAAATTATCCAGAACTTCTGTTGTATCACAACCAAAGCTTCCCAGAGAGTTTCAGAATGAAAGCTGGAGTCATCAGGGATACAGGGCATATTTCAGATTGTGCAGGTAAAATCTAGGCCCTGTTTGGGTGGGATATTGTCCATAAAGGAATTCATTGGTGATAGTGTCTTGTACATTCGTGTCTTACAAATGTTTGAGCACTTACAGACCCTAGAGGCAGAGTAGTAGACGCAGACAAGTCCCTCTCCTTCGGTAACAGACTTATGGAGGTAGAGAGCAGAAATGGGGAGATGTTCCCAACCAGCTGATCTGTTGCGCATAGATTTCAGCCACCCTTCAAGACAGCAAGAGTTTGGTTCTAATCGTGAGCATCTGTCTTGTAAGGCAGCTTCCCACCCTATGAACTCAGGGACTCCCTGTGGCACACCCACCCAAGGACCAGGGCAGTCCCTCTCATGGAAGAGCCGGAGCTCCCCATAGGGAAGATTAGGTCTCTGCCATCTTGGAAGATGAAAGTCAGCAGGAGAGATGGCAGCAGAGCAGGCCTGGCATTCCTTGCCCAGCTCACAATGGTGGGCACCCTGAAGACCCAAGAGCAGGCTCAGGTGCACTTGAAGCGTACTAGGGAGGAACCCCACTGCACCTCCACCTCCTAAAGGAGAAGCAGGGATGGTCAGGGTGCTGGCCCTGGAGCCCTGATTGAACCCTCCCCTGGCCTGACCCAACCTTCCTGGTAGACAGGCACATGGGCATTCCTGATCCCTGGCTGACCACAGCTTGGTCAGCACAGTTACCACTGATTTGCAAGCCCATGATGCATCTCCGAGGCCTGAGACCTTCCTTTTATAGAAAGCTATGTCCCTGCTGGCATTCCACTCTCACTGCCAGATCTGTTAGGCTGCAGTGTCTGAGATTTTCCTTGGGGGGTGACATGTTAGCCTGCCCAGTTTTACTGATGCTGACAAGGATTTGTGACTCAGCAATTGCAGTAGCCAAACCCCAGCTCCTCTGCCCAGGAGCAGGGCGTACTGGCTTCGCTCAGAGAGAGGTGCGTTCTCTCTCTTCTCTGCAGCCCTCTGCTGCACCATTATCCTTGAAAAGAAAGTGCAGAACGCTGCCAGCCACAGCTCCTGCAAGACCCGTGGAGAGTCAGCCCCAGTAGAGCTAGGGCTGCAGCACAGCCAAAGATGGCACCCAGAATCTGGGCTTCTTCATCTGAGTGTCGCTTGCTCATATAGGGGGACATTTGGGGAAGTTTTGTTTGATATTAGTACTTTTTATGTATCCAGAAAAATAAGTGAAGGCGGCCACTGAGGGGAAATCTGTAAGCACAGGGTCGGGCTGGACCGATCATCAGTGTTTGGGTGGCCTCAAGACAACAGGTGTTGAAATCATGAGGCAGCACCCAGGCACCCTATGGAAGACAGGATGCTACAGGATGGAGACGATGACGGGTGTTGGGTGTGGCTGGAGAGAGGTGGACACAGCTGTGGGGACTGGTCGTGCCCAAGGAGTAGACACATGAGTGTTCCACAGAGTGGCTGTCTGAATGAACCCAGCAACTGAAACCAGGAGGCGGACACTTGGGCTTCCAAGAGCTTTCACGTTGGATAAACATGGTCACGCGCAAGCTCTGCAAGAGTTCCAGGGACACAGGTTGTGAGAGGCGCCTGGCACATGAGCGGTGCAGTGCTACTGTGCGGGCGGGCATGGAGACACTTAGATCACTGACAGATGGCCCTCGACCTGTGGCATGCCCTTGATAGCAAGGCCCTGTGGTCACTTTCTAATCAGAACTTCTGTACTCCTCAGCCCTGATGGAGGGGTGACTGACAGGAAGCAGGGCAGTGTGGCCAGAAGGTCTCCAGGTCCACAGTGTGAGCAGAGGCAGATTAGAGGGTGTGGAGTGTACGTCTCCCAGTTGCTCTCTGGACCTGCCCTCCTGCTGCCCCGAGTGGCTGACAGTAGTTCTCTAACCTGAGTGGTCACTTCAGCCTTCTTTCTCCATGCCAATGTCTTCTGTCCCCCTTCAGCTCTCTGCAGAAGTCCCCGGTCTCCCCTCGGTGGCCCCTGGACAACCCTGTGTGGCCCACCTTGTCCTTCGCTGTGTCTCCTCTCAGGGATGCTCACGCAATAGTGTCTGTGTGGGGCAGACTTCCCTGTGTGGGGCAGCAAAGCCTCAGCTTTGCTCACTGGCCAGGTTTCTGGGGCGGAACCAGCACACCACCACCCACCCTACTGTGGCAACTGCATCTTTTCTGGGCCTGGCCCTGTGGAGGCTGCTCACAGGGCTCTGAGCGAGTGGAGGCCACAGGGCTAAGCCCCTGCTTTCCCCACTGTAGTCTGAAGAGCAAGGGGAGCTGACGAGGTCTAGAACTGTTTTAAACAAGGGTACCTTCAAAATTCAGATCTCCCCGCTACGCTCTTGGCTCCACAGTGGAGACTCAGGCAGGAAGGGTAGAGTTCTGCCACCCTGTCTCATACGTCGGCAAAACCCCAATTTTGCTGGACTGACGAGGCACTCGAATCCCAGCTGGGTGCTGAGAGGCCTGCTGTTCAGGGCTTGACCAAAGAGCTTGCAGGGGCGGATCTGTGAGGAAACGGAGCTTTAAAATGACAGCATTTAAAATGAAACTAGGGTCTGAATAATTACACCAGAAATATGGAACACAGTCTTTGTCACCAGGAGCAGCACGAGACCTCCTGAAGTCCTCTGGCCTCGTCAGTTAACGGCTCGGACTCCAGCTTCCCTGGCTGCAGGACGCAGGCACATGGCAGGCACTGTGCTACTGGGCTCACTTTTCCCTGGGCCCCAGAACTGCTCTGCAGCCGAGTGTCTCCGTGGGAATGTCTCACAGTGGCTCATGCTCCCTGCTCAGTACCGAAAGTGGAGAAGCAAGGTGTCTGGGGTACAATTTCCCAGCAAATCGCCGGCAGCCAGGCAGGCAGATGACAGGGCCCAGGAAGGTGAGACAAGAGCTGAGGGGCAGGAAGTGCCCCCCGTGCAGCCCGAGGGTGGGCAGGAAGGAAGGAGGGTGGGAACTGAAACAGCCCAGATTTGTTCCTGACCCAGTGAACCACCAGCTGCTAAGCCCGTCCACCAAACCGCCAGCCACTGCCACTTAGTCACAGAATATTTGTGTTTTGCTGTTTCCCACTCTGACTTCGGTGGTTCCACATGAACATCTTTCTACAAACATAAGAAGACAGAGCCAGAAAATCCTTCTGCCTGCTTGGCACGTGTTCAGGAGCAACCCGCACAGGCAGCATTCGGTCACTGAAACGCTCATCCCAGCCACAGCTCCGTGGTCACCTCAGCCGGCCCAGCACACAGCCGTGAATGACCAGCTTCTCTTTCTCCTCTGCTTCCAGGGTTCCCGATTGTTGACTGACTTTTTGTGGGACACTGACTGGGCCATCTTCTCTTGCAGGTGCAGACGACGACCATGTGCATCTCCGTGAGTCTGAGCGGCTTCGTGGTCTTGGGCTGCCTGTTTGCCCCCAAGGTGCACATTGTGCTGTTCCAGCCCCAGAAGAATGTGGTCACACACCGGCTGCATCTCAACAGGTTCAGTGTCAGTGCAACGGGGACCACTTACTCTCAGGGTGAGTGCGGGGCTCAGCAACACGCTGCCATGCAGGGCAGGGAAGGAGCCGCTCAGCTGCATGCTGAGTAGCTGCTCACCTGTGTGCCAGGTGAGGTGCTGGGTGCTGGGGACCCAGCAGCGAGCAGGAGAGCAGGGGTACTGTGTCCGGGCTGGCAAGAGGGATGTGGCATGGCTTCTCTGTGTTGGGGTTTGGACTCATTAAAAAGGCTGAAGCAGAATTCAGGGTCCACACCCCTAGTTCAAAGCCAAGGGCCCCACCACTGCACCTTGCATCTCTCCCAGGAAGCCAGCTGGGAGATTCACAAGAAGCTCAGCTGGTGGCTGGCTCCCCAGGGGGGCAAAGGGAGCTGTGCAGGGTGGTGCAGTCAGCTACAGCCAGGACCACACAACAGTGTGGGCAGTGGTTAGGACAACTGAACAGTGTCCCTAAGCCTCACGGACGTTGCTCAGAGCCTCGCATCCCCAGCCTGGGCTTCGCCCGTGCAGCAGCTGCCAGTGCATATTCCAGGAATTGGGGAAGTCACGGAGGGAAACATGAACACCTCAACTGGTCAAGTTTCCCTTCAAAACACCCATCTGCAGGAAACACTGTTCTGTGGCCACAGGGGCCCTGCTCAGCTGGTAAGGACCAGGTGGCACTTCAGGTAGGAGCCTACCCAGCCCATCACTTTGGGAACGTTGCCTTAGTGAAATTTTAAATGAAATTTTAAATGAAATTTTAAATCCTTTCTCTTTAAAAGGTCTAAACTCATTGTTTCAGCAGTACCCCCCTAATTAACCCAAATCAACAGAGCCGTATTACATAACAACATGAATTTCTATGTAGCGTTGTGCATTTAAAAGGTATCACTAACATGTCCCATCTGTGCTCTGTAATTTTGCACCTTTCATTTAAAGTAGTTTTACATCTGTGGACTTACTTGTCCTCATGAGTACCAGATACCACAAGTTCTGCTCTGTAGGTAAGAAAATCGAGGACGGAAGTGAGTTCTCAAGGGTATACAGTGATCCAGGAGTGAGGAGTTGAGCTTGGATTTCCTAACTTGCAATTAAAATCTTTTCCTATTTTAATAAACCGGAACTATCATCATGAGATTCATTTGTTCATTAATTCCTTGAGTCCTGCCCATCTTCCAGAGGTTTCTAAGCACTGGGCACCCAGCAAAGACCAAGACAGAGCCCTGGGCCCAGGGAGCTTCTTACCTAGCAGCATTTTGCAAACTGGAATGCAACCCACTGGATGTTCGTCCAGCATTTCCATTTCCTCCTAAACATGGGGAAAGACACTATTTGATAAATCAAGAAATGTCCTTAAGCTCTTCTGCATTCAAGTATAGAACAATATTCTACTGGAGCTACATAGAGAGACCTCTATACCTACAGATTGCAAATCCACAAATTCAGAAAACTGCAGATCAGAATATTTGAAAAAATGTGTCTGTACTGAACATGCATTTTTCTGTTTGTCTGTTACTCCCACACAATGTCATGTGGCAGCTGTCTAAGTGGCACTTACGTTGCTCTAATCATTGCACATCCCCTTGGGACGATTTGAGGTGCCCGAGGGTGTGCACAGGCTCCCTACAGTCACTTCGCCACTTAGGAGAAGGGCTATCTGTGGTGTGGGGCTGTGGCCAGTCCTCTGCAGGGAACAGCGGCAGAGGTGACTTCTGTTCTTCTGGGAAGCCTCAGGCCTTCCCTTCAGCCCTCAGTGAGTGCTGGCTGACTGGCTTATGGCTTGTTCTCTCCGCGGTGGCAGCGAGGAACTCAGGCATGAGGACAGGGCCACCACTCTGCCCTCCGCATTCCGCATTATTCTCACACCACACAGCTCTCCCTGACTTCAGTGGCTTCAAGCACTTCTCTCAGGATCACTCCTGGTTCTCTGGGTCAGGAATTCACCTGTCTCATGGGCGAGGTGTTTTCTGGCTTCTTCCCCGGGGCTCCTGCCAAGGCTGAGCTGATTCAGGGCTTTGAGGGGCTTCACTGTCATACTGGTCCTCACAGGAAGCTTCTCTTGGGGCCCCCCCAGGGCAGGCTGCACAGAAAAGCAAACTTCCTGGCCAAGGAGCTGGCCCCGGGACAGGGACTGTATTTCTTCATTACAGTCAGGATGCGCCTGCCTTGCTTCACGGTGACAGGAACACCTCTCAGAAACCAGGGGCAGAGCCACACTCCAGAGCCTGGACTCAGCAGGACCTCAATTCCCACTTATCTGCAGCCAGAGAGTAGCGTGTGAGCTGCATGGTTTTAGACCTTCGTAAGCCTCTCAGCAGCAGCCCAGGAAGTTAATAGCAGAAAAGGTGCTGGTGCCCAATTCTTAAATTGAGAAGTTTCCCCAGAGAGATGGAAAAGCATGGCCAAAACTCAAACACAGGCGTGGAAGACTGAACATGGTTAAGGCAACTTGGAAAACTCACTAACTGAGAAATGTTTTTATGTACTGCTCTGTGCAGAAGAGAACAATTCAAGCTGCACATGATTAATTAGTACAGTAGAAGTTAGAAGAAAAATAACCTTGAATCCTTAATTACGTGCATAGATCAATGGTTCCCAAATATTTGTGTATCCAAAAAAAAGCTCTTTGAAATGGAGATTTCCTGGCCCCACCCACAGATAACTGACTTCTGGGGTTTGAGGCGAAAGAGGGAAGCCTGGTCTGGGACAGATAACCCAGCTGATTCAGGAAAAGTGGCCCAGGCGGAAAACTGGGGACAGCGACACCAGCACCTTGTGGCTTCATCACTGACCCAGGATAGTTCCGGCAGGCCCACAGTGACCTTCCAGAGGGAGAGGGCTGGATCCATACTCCCTGCGGAGGTGGGGTGCAGGGCATCTCCAGGGCAGAATCACAGGCCCCCAAGGAGATGTATATGGGGAGGGACACCTCCTCCTCCCCCCAGGCCATGGACCACCTTGCCGTCCTCCACCCATCCCACATGTAAGCCTCTCCCACTCACCTCTAAGCAAATACCCTTTGTGTTTGGATGAAAAACAAAATACATCATTCTTTACTTCATTCTCCTTAGCAGCCAAAGGACCCCTCAGAGCTGCTCCTGGAGACAGGAAGTCCAGAGTGCGTGACGGGGACGTCGGCGGGGCTGCCTAGCTGGAAGGAGGCAAGTGGAGGCAGTGGTGGCGAGGCCCTTTGGGGTCTGTGCAGGACAGAAGGAAGGCACAGATGTGGGCGCCACTGGGGAGGGGTGAGGGGTGACATGCTCCCTCGGGCTTGGAGTTCTTCTGTACCCAAGACCAGGCCCATGGTCTGCATTCCTCTTACCCATGGTGATCGCTTAGATGCTGCATAGCATTAGCAGCGCCACCAGCCAAAAGGCTTCTGCTAACTGATGGTGCCCACACCTGGGTCCCTGCAGAGCTGTGGCAGCTGGAGACCGATTTCCCTGACCAGCCTCACTCACAAAGTCACCTGCCTAGACCATAACTGATGAGCTGCTCACGTTGTGGGTTACTCCTCATTGCAAAATATTTTCCATTTTATGATGGAAAGTAGCAGTACAAGCAGACCAAGGGAGAAGATTTCTACTGTCCTGGCATAATAGTAGTACAGAGAGCCACCACCTGAGCACCAGGCTTGGCCTCAGCCACCCCAAGTTTCTGAGAGCTTGAGTTAGACGGGCCGAACCAAAACAGGTCGGACCGTGCCTCATCAGGAAGTGTTCCTGATACAGGCAAATGAAACTTTCAGCCTACTAGATGTCTGGTACAAGGTGGTGTTCTCTAAAATTGAAGAATGAATTTTAGGCATGAAAGTTAAGAGCAGAATACATTTACTGAGAGAAAGAAAGCTTTTGTCTGGGAGAGAGATGGCAAAGGTCCTGAGTGGGTTGCCAAAGACTCTGTCTTTTCTAGGGAATGTTAAAGTAAAGCCACAGTGGGGCAGGTCCAAGGTGGGAAAGCATGGGAAACAGCAAGCCAGGCAGGCATGAAGTGGGACGGAACTATGGTCAGTCAGTCAGATTGGAGTGTAATTACTCAGGTAAAATTGATTAAATCAGGATCAAAAGGGGAGGTGAAGCACTAGCAAGTGGGCATGAATACCAAACAGTGACTCTTCCTGTCTTCCTGTCGGGGTTGGGATGGTGACTCTCAGATTCCTGGGGTCATAGAGACCTATTTAGAATACTAATCCTTAAGATGGGGGTGTGGTTGCCTGAACTTTTGTCTTAAGGCCTGGCCCACAGCAGGAGGTTGCAAGGTATCTGGGCTTCTGCACGGCTCCTTCCAAGACCTGGCCCTGTCTGAGTGCCTGTTGTATTTGTATCAAATTTAGCCGCCTGTAACATTCTGTCTTGAGGTCTGGCCTACAGCAGGAGGTTACAAGATATCTGGCCTTCTGCCCTGGTTCCTCAAGGGCCTAGCCCTTATCTGCCTGTCTATATTTCTAACTCAGCTGCCTATAACATTGCAAATCCAGAAAAATAGCATCCTATGCCTCGGTCTAAGTCCAGGGAGCCCCAGAGGGATTCCATGTGTACCCTGGCCCTGCAAGTTATTAGCAAGTTATTTGGTGACGCAGACTGAGTTAGCAGCCTTCCTCACCACTGGCAAGAGCGTGTTGTAAACATAAATCTCCAGCACCCAGTGCAGGAGGAACCTAGAGTGTTCAGAAAGGCAAAACATTCGCTTCCAGCCAGCACAGAACCAGTGCGGCCAGTGCAGACAGTGTCCATCCAATTTTCCCTCCAGAGGATCCACCTCGTTCCCAGGAATCTCCTCCCATCCCGCTTGCTTTCCAGAGGACAGGAGGAAGAGTTCTGGATGTAGCCCCACAGTCCTGCCGTGTCAGAGCTGGGCTTGCTACCTCTCGTGCCCTCTGCGTAGCATCGCTGCTGTAATCTGCTCTTTGCCAGTCCTTAAATTGCTCTCTTTACTGTTTTTCTCGTGGTTCCCACCTCCAAACAAGTGCAGTCCATTTCTGTAATAGCAGGAATGGGACCACTGAGGCTGAGTCATGTGGGCGTGGTCCAGGTAAGAAACTAGGATCCTGTCTACTGGATTACTCAGGGAATTTGGCAACTGAAGGCACAAATAAAACTCTCAAAATCTGCTTTATGAGTCCTCTGGCCTCTCTGGATTTTCTGCCTCAGCTCGGTTTTAAGATTCACCTACAGGCTAGTATCTGACTGGAAGCATCTTAACACTGCGGGTTCCATGATTTTTTTAGTTAAAGGTTCTTCGTGCAGCTCTCCCCCTGACCGAATCTGGACCTAGGTACAGACTTGCCCCCTACCCAAGGCCCTGTGCTAGGGAGTCCAGCAGCATAAGCTCTTTTCACCAGAGTCCACCGTGGTCCCCAAAGCCATGCTGCCCACAGAGAAAGGAACTTCAGAGACTTTTGGAAATGTGATGTGACAAAGACATGAGTGAGGTATATTATTAGTAGCTCTTGGCTAGATGTTTAAGTCGAAGGTGTTATTTCCCTCATTACCTACCATTTTCTTAAATTAAACACCATTGGCCATGTCCTGCACATCTGGCCAGATTTTGGCTTAGGAGCTCCACACCAGAGCCCAGTACAGAGACCTGCAACCAAACACATTTCCATGTGGCCCAAGTTCATCTCATCTGTGGGACCCTGGAGTCATGCTCGGAATTCTGTGCATGCATTTACTTTAAAAAGCGGAATGTGTACATAATCAACTGGTGCCTACACATTGGCTTCTTGTGCTCTCCACCTTAGAGCAGAAAAAAGGGAAAGACTTCACATCAATTTATTGTACTCAGTTATCTTCCCCACTTCCTTTTTCACTTGGTACAAATAAAATTCTCTGGAGAACATTCCTAACCAGAAAGATTTGTGTACACAGCACAAGAACTTCCTGCACACAAAGAAATGGAGGGCACCCTGGTACCCCTTACCTGGTCTGATTTCAGAGGCTTTGAAACAGGGACCCTCACGAAGTAGTGAAGACAGGATAAACCTTCATCTGCCTTGCTCACCGTTTTTTGAGCCAACGTCTACTTGGCCGCAGGGTTGTGTGATGAACTCATCAAGCAGATTCTGCTCTGCTGCTGCTGCTACTCTAGTTGGGCCAAGCAGGGTCACCAGCCCATAAAGCATCAACAAACCCCAGGTCATTTCTGGTGAGGGATGAGGAGGGACCATGAGGGGCAGAGTCACAGTTCATGGACCTCTTAGAGCACTAGGAAGGAAACGAACACTGTGCTCACCATGAACAGTCATGTGGCTGCCAAAGGCACAAGGAGGAGCACCTGCAAAAGCCCCGAGTTGGGAGGACACTGGGGAGGCCAGCATAGCCATCGGAGAACAAACACAGCAGCCAGAGAAGTGGGTGCTCCCGGGGTCAGCTCGCAGGGCCTCAAGGCCACTGTGAGGACTTGCCATGTTTCTGTGAAGGCAGTGAGCACCTGGGGGCAGTGGCTTAGGTTGGGGTGATGATGGTGGGTGTGTGCTGATAGCATTAAATGCTGTCATGACAAGGTGAAGCCAGGAGGGCTGGTTCCGTGCAGAGGGAGACAGAGGCCCACATGGGCTCTCATCTCATCTGGCTTCGAACTGGTGTTCATGTTAACCACCAAGCAAATGAGCTCTGCCGATCCCTATCTGGATAGGAAAGAGGACTTGGAACCCAGGAGGTGGTGAGGAGAAAGCAGTGAACAGCGAGAGTGCCCAGGCCCTTGGCCCTGCTGGTTATGGATTGCAAATCGCTGTAGCTCTTGAAGGTAGAAGAAAAAAAAGAACATCAAAACAGCACGAAATGGACACTGGGCTGAGGTTGTCTCCGGAGGGGCCAGGGACCTGCAGCGTCTCCCAGGTTCCTATCATCCAGGTCAGTGACTGTCAGACAGTCGGTAGACATGAACATTCCCATTTATTTTGCAGCAAAAAGAAGTACAAAAGAAGAGCTCAGAAAGAAAAGAGTGCTTTACAGGAAAAGAGAAAGCGCATCCTCCATGCAGAAGAGAGCCGCACAAGGGTGGGGCAGTGGCCACAGTGCTCTGCTGTGTCCTTATGTGTCTTCTCTCCCAGCTAAGGCAGATGGCCCCACTCGGTCTCCTGCCAGAAGACTGGCACCAGGTGCAGGTTCGGCTGTTATCTGGTGCCTGCCACGGGCTCCGCTTCATCAGTGTAGGGCCTGGGGGCTGGTGTCCCCAGACCGTGGTTGATAAGTCTCTGCCCTGGGTAGGTCGTGCCCAAAGCCCTCGCCTCCTACAATGAATTAATTGGAATTAGTTGGAATTAGCAATTAGTTGGAAACCAAGCGCCATTGCTGCTGATGTGGCAGCTAAGCGATATTAGACCATCCATGGCTTCACTTTGTCTCACAGGGAAAGAACCACTGACTGAGAAGTGGTCTCCCACAGCTGCTTCCATACAGTTCTAACTCTGCATTTAGAAATTAAAGGTTTTATTCCTCAGCATAATTATAGAATTTCATATTAATCTGCTGTTCAAAGCTCAAGAGCACTACTTGGCTCATACAGAGGATGCCCCTACTGTTCCAGAAGGAATTCTCTGCCAGCAAGATGACCAAGCCAGTGGCGCAGTGTCACTGTCTCCCTAGATGAACTTCTGAAACGGGACACACCATGTCACATGATGAGCAAGGAAGCAGACCCAGGAGGCCAGCAGGACGGCAAGGCCACAATGGCCGGGAGTATGGACCGTGGCCACTGCTTTAAATATCTAAGCCATCAGACCTCCCAGGATAGTTACTTGGGGTCACCAGGAGTAGAGAAATGGAACAGATGGGAGCAAACTGGAACTTCTCTCCTACTAAAATACTTGCTTTATTTCTTCTGAGCGCACTGTGTCCCAGAGGTATCGTGAGACAGTGGCCCTTAAGAACCAGCCTCAGTCACTAAACTGACCAGCACAGTAATCTATTAAGTGTGTCACAGAGCCTGGGAACAAAGCCTGGCCGCCCAGTATTAGCAGTAAAGGAGGTGATTTCACAGCCAGACAAGGCTGAAACTTAGCTGCACTGAAGGAAAATGTGCCTGGCGATGAGCGGGAATTTCCCTTTTGTGGTCAGCAGTAAAGCAAGATGACCTTGGCAGCTGTCTCCAGTGTTCACTTTGAGAGGCAGAAAGCACTTCCCTTCCCCCCAGGACAGCTGCTGTTTACCCAGGTCCAGGAAGGCCGAAGCAGGCTGCACACCTCCTATTTCTGGTAAGAGAGCGATTATAGAAGTTGGCCTAACTGCACTAAAGAAAATGGGCCACGCTTACACCATTAAAGATCTCATGAGAATTTCATCAGAATAATAGCAGAAACTTGTCACACACACACACAGAAGTGGTAGTCTTCTACTCTTCCGTGTACTGCATTGGGGAATAACAGATGGGCTAATATGGGAAGCACAAGTAAAATATTTATGAAAGGCAAGGTAATTGGGATAGTAAACTAACTCATAAAACATATTCAGCAGCATGTGCAGCAATGAGAATATTTTTACATAATAAAATGTACCAGCAAAAGCTACAGATGAAACAGTAAAGCTGAAACATGCAAATAAGTTTCTCTCAACTAACTAAAAAGTGCTCAGAGAGAAAACCTGCAGGGTTTAATGGGAGACTCTGGCTGTTGTTACTCCTTATAAGAAAGCTTGAATTTGTAGTAAGCTCTTCCTCCAGAGTTCAGACCTCCTGGCCTGGGGCTTTCCCCGATGTCCCTGCGGAGCAGGTGAGGATATGAGCAATGTCTATGGGGTGCAAATCAGAAAACAGTCAAATCCACAAAGCTGGCCTTTACAGGCCCTGCTGTTCCTTCCTTGCTAAAAAAAAAAAATGCTTGACTTTTTAATTAGGAGGCACAGGCTTCAAGGGCTAGGGCTTTGTCCCAGCTTCTGCTGCAGCCCCGAGAGTGCGGCGAGGAAGAGCTGGACTGGTGCATGTGCTGTCCCTCTTTTCCTTGATTCCCTGAGGTCATTGCTCTTTGGTCTCCGGAAATGAAAGGCCTGTCTGGAAACACTCACCATACCTGCTCTGGAAGAGATGCAGGGACTGGTAGGTCTAAGGCAGCAGGCTGACCTGGGCTTCTCAGGCTGGCCAGTCTCTCTGTAGGCAGTGGATGTGGCTCAGAAACAGGAGGGCTCTCCTGTCCCCAGCAAGCTGTGCACAGGCTTCCTATGTGTGACAGGCTCTTTTACATTGACAGGACTCCCTCGTTCCTCAAAATGTGAATACTTAGTGATCGTTGAGGAGATCAGACAGGGTCTGGTCCATGCACTAGAGATACATGAGGAAACAGCACAGCCTCGGCATCCTTGCTGATCAGGAACACACAGACGAACAGAAGTAAGAAGAAGGGAGCGAAACATCAGGCAGCAGCACGCGGGGCCGTACTGCTTTTTAAACCAGGGAGAGAAAACGAGCCACTGGTCCTCTGGCAGGTGGTAGCTTTCTGAAGAAGAGGGATCTGACTTCGGGAAGGACAGGAAGATGAAGCGAATGCTGCAGTGTTTGTATTTGGGAAGGCATGAGATCATTCACTGAAGAAAGAAAGGCTGATTACATGCGGTTATGGAATCAAGAGCTCTGCTCTGTTCAGGGACCCTGAAATGTCCACAACGCTCCCACTCCCAGGTGCTGAGCAGACAGGTGGACACGGGGCTGTAGCAGGAGCACACATGAGATGGCCCAGCCATCCATCCTCGGCTGCCAGGTACCTGAGGTTTGAACTTTACTTTGTCTTGCTCTTTCTCTTACCTTACCTGTTTTTGGCAGTGATACCAGAATTTGATCAAGTATAGACTTTGTAAAGAATAAAATAAAATCCTCACTTGTGGGGTTATTATTCTAGCCACTTTCCATCAGGTACTTGTTTGATATAAACCATGTTTAAATGCCTTCACAATAGAAATTTCAGGACATGCCCTATGCTTCCTGCCCTCAAAGACTATATAGCTGTTAACACACTCACAGTGGAAAGGACCTTGAAGCTAATCCTCACAATGATAAAAGGGGGGACCCCTGAAGAGTCAGCCTGTGCCTGACCCAGTCACAGCAGTCAGCCAGATATGATCCATCATCCAGATCTGATGTGAAGCCCAGGGCTTTGAGTTTCCCTAGCAGCGACATCAAGACTTGAACACCCCAGAAGATGCTATGTTCTCCCCACTGAATGCCACATCCCTTTAGATTGCACAAGTAGTCACTGCTCAGTATTTAAAACATTCAGTATTTAAAACATTCCAGTGCAAAATTATTATTAACGGTTCCCCAAAACACAGAATTAACCATTGTTTACAGAGCTGAGCATGGGTGACAGGGTCTGACAGGATCAGTCTACAACTATGGTGGCAATGATAGGCAACTTTTTTCCTCTCAAGTTTTTGTAGGTCCTTGTTGTAACTAATTTAGGATGAGTTTCTATGTTGTATATTAAAGTTTTATGGAGCAAGACTCCATCCACTGTCAGGCATGCACATGCTGGCATCAGATTAGTTTGTGAGCCCTTGAGGACAGGCCCGGAACTGATCCACGTGGTTTGGTTGTGGTCTGGGGCCCAGAGGCCAGCTCCTCTGTTCAGTGTCTGGATGGACAGGGCCAGGATGGCCATGTAGAGACCTGGGAGGCTGTGGAAGCTCCTCTCTCCCTCCAGCCTTCTTGCAAGTCGTCTTAATCTCACGGTGAATGAGGGCCCACGCTTTTGTCTTCATTCAGTGAAATGAAAAATCATTGAAGGTGAAGTGGAAAAAAAAACCTATGTGGTGCTGAATTTCTCATAGAAACCAAACTTTACCAACAAGTCCATAGCTAAAAATTGTACCTGATAAAAAGAAGTCTCGTAAAAGACTCATGAACACGCACGCTTACGTTACCATGCCAGTGCTGACATCACTGTCACTGTCATTACGAGGAAGGGCACCACCCTTGGGGGCAGAAGCCCTCAGCACACAGCCCTCACTGCTGTTCCCCAGGTGACAGGGTCTGGGTCTGGGCAGTGGCAGTGTCTCCAGCCAGGCTCTGGGGAGCTCAGAGCTCCTGGGGGAACAAAATTCTTGCAGGTGTTGAACTAGTCAATCGTTTAACAGTTAATGATTTGTCAAGGACCTTCAGTGCTGCACATTGCACGTTGACCAGTCTGTGGATCAAAGCTCATTTCAGCCCGAGAATCTTCTTCAAGCCATAATTGTGCTGCAAGCGCTCTCAGCATGGCCTGGTGTGGAAGTGCGTTCTTAGCATTAGTGTACAAACTAATGCTGAGCAAAAAACACTTAGGTAGCTGCCACGGAACAGTGGCTTTCCAAAACAGAGTTAAAGCGGGTTTTGCCCTTTATTTTCACCCCACGTGCGTCCTTCCCGCATGGCCCCCCTAACCAAGCCTCTCGTTGCTTTGTTTCACAGCCTCTGCCAGCACTTATGTCCCCACTGTGTGCAATGGGCGCGAAGTCCTGGACTCTACCACCTCCTCGCTGTGACCAAGACTCCGCTCGGCACCCGAAGTGTTAGACTGTTAGACACTCATGCCGAGGGCAGCTCCGGAATGCAGAGACGAACAAAAGGCCCTGGAACCTTTTTTTAGAAGCAGCGCATAAATTATTTTTGAGGACTGTACAGTATAGTGATGTGCTAGGACTTTCTAGGCTGATTTTCGTGTCCCTATTATTAACGGTTCCCCCAAAACACAGAAATAACCATTGTTTACAGAGCTGAGCATGGGTGACAGGGTCTGACAGGATCAGTCTACTACAACTATGGTGGCAATATTAGGTAACTTTTTTCCTATCAAGTTTTTGTAGGTCCTTGTTGTAACTAATTTAGGATGAGTTTCTATGTTGTATATTAAAGTTACATTATGTGTAACAGATCGTTTTTCTGAGCAAAAATAAAAAGCATCTATGTTAAGTAAAGGCATTGGAAATAAAACCTTCACGGTTTTCCAGCATGGTGGAAAACGGTTTGTCCTTTTTGAGTCTCTTGAGGCAATGTGAACACATGGACTGCAAGTCCTGTCTACTTTCGATTTTGGAAGGAATCACCTGACCATTCCCCTCTTCACAGCCACACAGCTTGGAACGCAGGCCGCCCCCTGCTGGAGGGCTGGAGAGAGAACTGGACTTTGTCAAGGTCACGATGAGCAGAAAGTGACTGGCGGCACCACAGGTGTCACGGAAACGTACCCAGCCATGGGACACCCCAGAATTGCCGGAACCCGGCTCTGAAGTAAAAAGCTGTCCTGGGGGCTGCAGACACTTGTTCCCCTAAACACCGTTGGTCGGCAAGAGCCCAGGAAGTGACCCCTACCCACAACTGAGGGGCACACAAGCTCATCTATAAACTTCCATGTTTTACTCGCCTAAATAAAAGAGGAAATAGCAAAATTGTGGGCAAGCTAAACTGTATTATTTTCACCAGGATTGTGTCAACCTTTTAGTAGCAAATTTTGTTTGTTTTTTTGTCCTTTTGAGACAGAATTTCACTTTGCAGTTCAGGCTGGCCTTGAACTTACTTTACAGACCAAGTTGCCTCAAACTCCAAATCCTACTCCTGCCTCAGCCTTGCACATGCTGAGGTTATAGGCGAGTGTCACCACACCCAGCTGCAAGCACTTTATTCTGTGGGAAAAGTTGCTGAGAACACACCTATCTGCCAGTTCCTGCATCAGGGACCATGGACAGAGAATTCAGCTGTCCCGCAGCTGACAACACCATAATGTATGCAGCTTAAAAAAACAAAAATGTGTTCTCTCTGTGACATAGGCCACAAATCTAAAAGGTGGAATGTATAGGGCCAGGCTCCCTTGTCCCTTTCCCAGCATCTGGGATGGGAGGCTTCCGGTCTGTGGCCATGCCACTGTGCTCCCGTTTGTCTTTGTCATGGTCCCTGTGTGTAAAGACGATGCTCAGGGGGAGAGGGCAAGTGCCCACTGCAATAACCAAGGGTGAACTCATCCCGACCTCCTGCATGCAGTCTCTTCTCCCAAATAAAGCAACACTCAAGTCCCAGAGGTAGGATGCAGACATGACGTTTTGAAGTCACTGTGCTCACAAGGATAGAGAGAAGAATTAGATATAACCTTTGCATTTGAAGGTAAAGATCAGAAGACATTTTAATGAAGGGACTGTGACCAAGGAAGATAGATGAAAAAGTCAGAGATCTGAGGGATGCACAGACTAAACAGGGTGTGAGACAAGCAAGAAACCCAGTATTTCACAAGCATCCAGACACCAGTGCCCAAGCACACAGAAGCCCACAAAACTGGTGGGAAGGAAAGGAGGCTGTGGGTTGGGAGAGGGCTTCTCTTAGTGGATGCATCCGGATCTGTAACTACATCTACCGATCCAAAGCCCACTAGGCGCCCAAAGCAACGGTGTCCCCAGGTCCCCAATTCTCCTTTTCGAACAGGAACCTGGGGACTTGAGGAGTGAGGAGTAGACTAAGATTCCACACCACTAAATGACACAAGTCATTTTCCCTGTGCAACCTGGCAGAAGGAACGGGTCAGTGCTCGGGAGCAGCCGCTGCTGGGGCGAGGCAGAGCGAGGCTGTGGAGGTGGTGGCTGTAGAAGGGTGTGCAGGGCAGCGTGCAGACCCAGCCCAGAGGCCACCACAGGTCAGGAGAGGACAGTCAGGCTTGGCGTGAGCGGTGAGGACACAGCGGGTCTGGGGCTAACGCCTCACCCCTGCCGGGCCCTGAGAGGGTGTCGCCCCCAGAGCCCCTCATTTTATCCTTCCCTGACACCCACCTTGTCTCTGATCTGAAAATGCACCATCTGACTTGGGGGCACACAAATAATTTTTAAAGACCTTTTCCACCCTGTTTTGCTTCCCGTCTCCCTCCTCTTCCAGTCCCCCTCCCCATTTGAACCAGTTTTTCTGACTTCCCAGCATCCAGCCTCCTTGTTGCTCTTTATTTACCCTTTACGCTTCTCACACAGAAAAACAATGCAACACTTAAACCTGTGTACAGAAAATAGCCACGATAATGTTTTACATATATATATCTATATATGCCATTAAAAACAAGTTTTTGCTTTTTTAAAACAAAAAGTAACATTTTATTCTCACAATATAAAACTGGTTGAACTGATCCATCTTTGCAAAACTTCCTGAATTCAAGGAGCCCAGGCTGAATGATAGAACTCATTCCCAGAAACACACACATCAGACTCTACGCACTCAATTGCCTGGATTTTTGGAGTGTTTACCTTGGTGTGCTCTCTGTCCTCTCTGGCTTAAACATTAATACACTTTCTGACCATCCAGGTATGTGTTGTAAAGCAAGAAGCTGTTATTTTTAAACTGCAGGAAACCCGAAGGCACAGAGCACAGCATTAAAGACCAGCTGGTGAGAGGCTGAGTTGGCCTCCTCCTGTCCAGCTTGTGGCCCTGATGGGTCCCTGCTTTATTCATGTTCACGGCAACAGTTTGGGGTCCCAGAGGCTCTCAGAAAAGGGCTGTGAGCTACAGAAGCCAACAAGAGTGAGCAGCCAGGAGGACGGGCTATGGATTATGGATACAACCAGAGAGCCAGTGACAGAGGGTCAGATTGGCACAGTCTCACTGGTGCCACGCTTTTATTTGAAATGCAATCAAGATTATGTATAATCGGTTAGCTTAGATAAGGAAAACAATGCCCCCCTCCAACCAAATCTACCAAAATTTATAAGCTATTTTAGGGCCCGCCTTCAGGGAGTTAATAAGATAAAGATAATTCCAACAAATAAAAAGTCATAACAGGACATTCAGTTCAAGCATACCAAAGACCTGTTCCTTGGCCTGCCCATCAGTGAAGGGGTCCTAATTGTCCTCTGAAGTCCTCAAGTGTGGAAGCAGGGCTTGGTACATGTTCAAAGACTGAGGTGCGCCCAATCCTATCAAATTAAAATAAACTGGGGGGCTACAGGGCCAGCTCTGAAGAATTACACTGGAGCTACTGCAGTGCATCATCCATTAGTTCCACTGTTGTCTGACACGGATTTATATCAGATGGAATATTACTTCTAACGCCACTTGTCGTACCATTGTCATAGATGCCTCAGTGACAGAAGATGTTAACATCTGTCTTGCTAATTTACTGTGCACCACTTCACTTGGTTTGGTTTCACGCTCTGCCAATGAACACCCACAGTGGAGCCCGGCACTGCAGAGGACTCAGAGTGCATCTGACTCATCTTTGGGGGGTGGGTGGATTGTCAGAGATGGGTGACAGTGCATTTCCTCCTCACATACTCAGGTGCCCAGCTCACTGCCAAGGAGGTGAGCCCAAAGGACAGAGCATCGGTGCTCCTGACCTTCTGCCCAGCGCCGCCATGGCTGTGGTCATCCACACCAGGGCAGACAATCCTGAGCCAACCTCCTGTTTCAATCTGTTGGGCTGAGAAGGCATCTCTATTTTTAAATAACTGAAAAACATCAAAAGAATAAAGTGTGGAACTTAATGAGGCCATGGTTCCAGGGAGCATGGGTGCAGTTCTATCTGGAGAAAGTTCTCTGCTTCTTGTCCCCAGCGCCCTCAGACCACAGTGGCAGAGCTGAGCAGATGCAGCGGAGCCCACAGGTCCTGCAGAGCCTGGGCCCCTGTCCCACCAGACCTTGGCACAGCCATGCACTGAAATCCTGCCCAGCTGCCTCCACCAGGTGCTGCAGATGTGGACTCCACTTTGGTCTCTAAGGAATGAGGCAGGTATTTGGATTTTTTGAAAGTTTTCTTCCCTTAGACTCTCTTCATAAGGAAACTTTAATTTAGACTAGGTTCTGTATTTAAAACTGCTATAAAGGTAGGGGAATCTCAGGTCTTCTAAGGGTCTCTTCCACCTATCATTCATGTGAAATGATAATTGCAAGTCATGCATGGACTTTCAACTAGCAGTGGAGTCCTCCTCTCACCCTCGCCCCCAAGGCACTGTCTTTTTACAAGGAGAAGAGGAAAGATACAGTTCTTCCCTTGGGAATGGCCGTGAGTCAGAGCACAGCTCCATGGAGAGACACCAAGTGAAAACAGGCCAAGTCATGAGCACGAGCCAAGTGGGTCCTCTGCATGGCCAATGCACACCACCCTCATCTTCAGGAACGAAATGACAAAAGTCTAGCAAAACTACTGTGAAATACTTTTAATCCCAGGAAGGATGTGATTATTAGTAACCAAAGAATGGGGAAGTCAATACTAGTAAAATTCAGTCTTTTAAATCAAGCACAAATCAAATCGCACAGCACTGTTAATGACAGACTTTATCCACATAAGATTTCTCACATCCAGTGGAAAACTGATTTAAACAGGTTTTGACAGAGTGTCAAGGGGTGTTATAGGTGACAGTTCATTTAATGAGGTGTTTATGGCTTCAAAAATGTGCCTTTTAGAAAAATAACCAGTAACACTTTCTCTACCATGGGAGATGGGAAAAAAAATGTCAATTAAATTTGTTTATGCTTTTCAACGTTTCGCTGAGCTTTGCAAAGGCCATTCATAACACTAAAGTGAATTCTACAGCCAGAATGGGTCTGAAAATTTTCCTCATAACATGCTTTCTGTCATCCTCCTTCAGCTCCTGGAATAAAATGACAACCTGCTGAAATCCAAAGGAACAAGGCAGCTCCTTCCCAAAATTGGACTGAGCTGATGGCATCCACTTAATACCTAAAATTAGAAATAAGATAAAGTCTTCCACATAAACTACATTTTCAGAGAGTTCATTAAAATTTAAGGCATTTCTGACATCAGAGATTTGAGTCCAGTGACAAGACTAGAAGCAGCAACTGAGAACAAACCCTGGGAACCTCACTGGCTCGGTACACACACGTGTGCACAGCGGAGGGGAGGAGGGGACAGGGACAGCAGGGTCTTCCGAGCCTGTCTGCCTGTGCGGCTTCCTGCCTCAGAGTGCGTGCCTTCAAATCCATTTTATTCTCCTCGTTAAACCTGTACCAAAGTGGGAAAGACATGCCAATGCCCTGGTCACGGGACAAAAATGAACAGTGCCAAAATAATTCTTGCTTTATAAATGGTCCAAGAAGTTTTGTTGCTAAGTGACACCCTCCTTGAGTCCCAGGACAAAGAATAATAGTATTGCAACTTCATCTGTACACAAGAGATACATCCATCCATCCCACAGCAGCAATGGTCTAGCATCACCCCCACTAGCCAGAAGAACATAGCACTTCCCCAGCTCTGCACAGCAACAGGACCACAGGTTACAAGTCAGACTTCATAGCCATACCTGGGGCAAGTTTGTCGGGGATCACCCATGTGCCTTGCCAGTCATAAGCCGCTGGAAAATCTAGGATCTACACAGGTCACTGTTTACTAGAAACACCCAGGCACCTTAGGTCAGCAATGCCGGGAAAACTCCCTTTTTCTTAGCTCTAAACAATGTTTACACAAACTTGGTCAAATCCATCTTCAAACCTTTTTCAGCGTATCAGTCCTATGAACACTAGTAACCCATGGTAAGAAGATTCACAATTTCCCAGGTCATGCTAGAGTAGGAATGATACTTACTTCACAGGTGCTTTAGTGCACCCACATTCTCATCATGAACACAATGCTTCACGGGCATGAGAAGATGCCCCCCAGACCACCCCAATATTCAAAGTCCTGTGGCAGAAAAATCACCACATCACCTCCTGTGCCTGTCCTGGGGAGTCCCACACAGTGCTCTAGAGACCACAAAGTCCCCCAATGCCACACGCAGGCATCCCAGCTTACAGATACAGCCCCAGGAAGTTCTCCATGTCTCCTGCTCCATCCTAGGGACCTGCTGTGTCAGGCCCCACCTCCTGAGTACAGATGGAAGTCGAGGCTTTTTGCTGCCTTTTCAATTGTTTTAAGATTCCATCAAGCTTTCGGTCAAACTCTTCCTCCCAGTTCCAACAAGGATGGTGCTTTGAAGGCAAGGTTTGAAGTAAATAACCTAAGCACATGCTAATTCCCCCAAAACATTACTAAGTTTCTGAGATCAAGAGAAAATACCCTACTAAAATGAAAAGTTTATTGATTGCTCACCATTTTTAATAGAAAAGATGATTTAAGGTCTGTTGGGAAAATAAATAATGGGAAAAATAATTATACCTTAGAAAATTTTTCCAATCTTTTCCAAAATATAAACACAGACAAGACATAAATGAGATTCCAGACATGTGCCCACAGTGGCACTGCAGGGCACACCCACTAGAGGACAGGAGGCATGGAGGGCGCCCGCCCACCCACCCACAGCATGGGCCCGGCTCGCGGGTGGATAGTAAATCTCTTCCTGAGTGAAGTTCTCTGCGGTCAGACCCAGTTGCGTTCCTCGGTCTGGCAAGTCCTTGGAGTGCATGGTAAGGCCCCCGACCATTCTCCTCTCCCCTCAGCAGCGCAGCCAATGGGGATAGGTCCTCACCAGGGTCCTGCACAGCTGGGGAGCGGGGTTCTTGGGCCACACCTTTGAATCCCACAGCATGACTACTTCATATATTGGGGGATCGTGAGGATTTCAGCTGGACAGACTCAAAATGTTCTTGTTTTTCCTAAAGAAAAACAAATACAAAATCAATGTAATGGAATTCCAATAATATTTTAGGATCCCAATGGTCCACAAAGTCAGTTCACTTTAATCTATGCACCTGCCACTTATCATCAAGATTCTACATTTAATAAAGTGAGATGGCAGATATAAAGCAAGCAGCGTGCCTGCCCTGAAGGGCACTTTGATGTCCAAGAAATAAGACAGGCAATTCCAGAAGAGAAGCAGACACAATCCCTAGAGATAGGAGGAGACGTCGCCATGATGCCTGCAAAGAAAACTCCCTGCCACTTCCAAGGGCACAGCTGACCTTGGTGTGAAATCAGCGCCCTTGCCTTGCTGACTGTGGGGCTGAGCAGTCCTGAGATGAGGCAGGCCGAAGGGTGAAAGAGAGGACAGCGGGAAGAGGGAAGAGCCCACCAGTGTAACATGAGGTCTCCAGCCACGCTGAGGGCTCCAGCTCAGGTATCAGAAGTCACCTCAGATCATGCATCTGACACTTAATTAAAACATATCATTCTGCTGTTACAGAACACATTTAAAATATAACCCATTAAATAATTTTTCTTTGGTGGGAAAAACAAAATATGAAGTGGGATTTATCCCAACCTTTTAATTACTAAAATCAGATGCATTTTAAAGATTTCAGGAACGGGAATACAGGAGAGACCAGGATTATTTTTAAAGCAGTACAGTAAGAGCTGACCTGCTCTACGTGGAAACACATGCTGTCTGAAGTGCAGTACGTGGGAAAAACAGGGTGGACAGACGGGGTAGGGGTGCTGCTGCACTGGTGTTCACTTTGGTAGGGGATCCAAGCAGGCTGGGATCTCAGACAGCGTTCCCAAGGACAAGACAGCAGCACCAAGCTGGCCTGCAAGGGTGGGGGAGGAGGAAGGAAGGGAGAGGGGAGGAGGACGATAGGGAGAATGGAGAGGGAGAGGAGGGGAAGGAGGAGGACAGTGCCTCTGCATCTCTGGCACTCCCAGGATCGCCCCACAAGAACCTGACTGCAGTCTCGAGCTTATCAGCATTTAGCTGGCTTGAGAACAGCCCTTTAGCCTGAGCATCAGAGTACAACAGGCAGTGCCATGGAGCAGGTGGGGCTGCAGATCGGGAAAACGGGCGTCACAGAAGTCTGCCCTGTGTGCAAACGGCTCATGAGAGGAAGTGCTTCAGGGCATCAGACTCGACAGAGAGGAAACGTGAGATTTCAGATGCAACTCAGCATGTTCTGGGTGAAGGAAACACACACCGGCCAGGGTCCTCAGTCACATTCACAGTGCGACACTGAGAGACCTTTGTCCAGTCATAGTCTCACGCTGCAACTGTGGGCTCTGCCTGTGCTCCTGGTGCTGGGGGGTGGGGGGAAGGTACACATGTGTGTATGTGTGCACGTATGAGTGGGCATAATTAGCAAGGTACTGCTACTGATAAATGGGACCTCATAATGGCAGGAGCCACTCTTCATTTCTCAGCTCCCAAGACAGCAGCTATGCTCCAACCTGTGGTTTCAATCAGCACTCACAGAATGACAGGAAGGATCCCAGGGCAGAAGGGAAAACACTCAGCTGGAACCTGGGGATGAGGAGCACAATCCCTCCACAGTCCCACTGGACAGGCAGGCGAGCTGCCCAGGGCCTCAGTTTACCCACACATGGGCTAACGTGCCACATGGGAGGAATGCTCAGGGCCCCAGCCCGGAGCCAGCTCACTCCGGGAGCGCCCCTCATCTCACTGCTACCCCTGGACTTCACCCCTCTCGGGAGCTCAGGACCTCCTTCCTGTGGTTCTCACCTTTGGGGTGCACACCTGTGTGAGTGCATGTGAGCATGTGTGCGTGCATGCACAGTGTGATGTGTCTTCCTTCCCCACTATTCTAATTCCATATATTCCCCGCCTAATAGTGCATCTCATGGCAACTCAGAAATCATGTGGACTAAGCAAAAAAAAAAAAAAAAAATACAATTGAAAGTATTTTGAACATGGGAAAAGTCAACAAAAAATAGATAAAAGCTAGTTCCATATGACATGGCAGGTAAATTTACCACATTTTTGCTTTTTGAAATCATATGATAAACTGTCTAAAATGGAACATACGATAACACGTGCACAATGAAATTCCCAGAATCTTTATTCAGTCAACATTGGAAATACCAGATATCCACTAACAGAGTATGTTACCAATTCTGGTAGATTACCCAGACAACATAATATGCTTCTGAATAGAAAGGAAACTATTCATGATCAGCACAATGAGGTAGCCAATCTCAAACACATCTTTCAGGGTAAAAGAAAAATGACACACGACCCTCACTATGTGGCCATGACGACAAAGTGCTGGGACAGAGAGAGCTGAGCTGAGCTCAACACACCAGTACACAGCCCTGGGGCAGGACAGGCAGGGACCCTGACAGGACCTGGTGCCACTCGGACAGATGCATTTCCAAAACTGGCCACACTCAACGAGCCAAGTTGGTGTGGCCTCTGATCCTGGGTCCCCAAAGCTGAAATGGGTGATGTCAGCAACCATCACACCACTGCCACCACGACTCACAAGGTGGGACCAGCACCGTGAGGATGGTGCTTCCCAGGGACAGTCTGCAACAGTCCTTCACATAGCAGATTCCGTCTCTCTGCTCTAACCCTTCCTTCCGCCTTGCCTACTGCTTCCAGCAGGCAGCCAATTAGCTCTCCAGTCACTGAGAGGACTGATGACCAAAAAGAACGGTCTGTTGGCCAAGCGATACAGAGGGGCTCCCAAACACACCTCTGCAGGCTGCACACAGCTGTGGGGAAAGGGGTACCTAGGGGGACTGGAGTGGGTCAGAGCCAGCTGGTTAACCACGCAACCTGCACTGAATGAAGGACCCTGTTAGCCCAGCAAGACGTGGCACAGCTTCCACATGAGCTCTCAGCAGGATGTGAGTGACGGCCACTCCTCACGGAGAGGCGTGGGGCAAGTCCCGGACAGCAGGACCAGGAGGCCACACCCTCAGGCAGGGAGATGAGCAGCTCCACACAAGTGCTTCTACTTCGGGTGCCTGATGTATGCAGGCAAAGGCCCACCCTACTGGCAGAGGTGGCTGGAAGCCCCGCACCGATTTGTATAGCTGCCCAAAGTCCCTGGGGCGTGAGGACATATGCGGAGCTGAGTCTGCCCAGCAGCTGAGGGGACTCTGCACTGTGCCTGATGCTACCCTGCAGACACACGGGCCCCCCACACCAGCCATCCTACCACACATGGCCTTTGAGCTGGGACCCCTCCCAGGCTGTCAAAGGCTCTCGGGAAGCTGGGCCATGCTCTAGCAGTGCCCACAACCCTAAGGAAAACTGCACATAATGGCTTCCACATTAGTGATTTGTAGTGGGAAACTGGCAGCAGGGGTGATCTTGCCTAAGGCCTCCTTGAACTTTAGACTCACTCCCAATGCCACCCCCAGCTATGGCTCTCCCAGAACTGCTGCATCTCCCTTCTACAGGGCCTGGAGTCATGCTCGTCACTGGTCAGCAAGCCAGGAAGAGGCCCAACAGGCCTCGCCTCTTAAACACAGACAGCACACATTCAGAGTGGAGCTGGCAAGACCTCCATGGCCTCTCAGGCTCAAATCAGGAGTGTGTGTCCTTGGGGAAACAATCACCCTGACTCTCCTGTGCAAACCCTGTCAGCAGAGCCCTGAACATCACAGTTCCGCTTCATGCACACTCTGGACCCATTGAGCAGACACTGTCCACTGGCTGCTGGGATGTCCAAGTCCAGCCACAGTACACAAAAGTGAAACCCACAGGACTGCTCTGCTCTGCACACAGAAACCAAAGGGGCCTCAGAGACAGCATAGCCTTTGATAAGACAGTACATTTTCACCGCCTTTTGGGCTACTACATACAGCCCATCTGGTTTGTCTGCCTTGTAAAACTACAGACTTGCAATGTAAAATCACCCCTCTTTGGGGCCATGAGCCAGAAGCACACTTAGCTCCTGTTCAGAGCACATACGCTAATCACAGCCACCCACAGTGAGCACTGCCTTGTGAAATGACAACACAGAATCTAGCTGTTGCAGAGGCTGCTTGAGACTGATGGCCCCAGATGCTGCTGGGCTGTCCCAGCACCCACCCTGGACATGCACCCAACATCACAGCCCAGCCTCTGATGCAGGTTACCACAACAGATCAGACTCATGCTGAAGGATGGCCTGTCTTTCCTGAGAAGCTGAAAGCATCATGCCTTTGAATACCCCTTGGGTTCTTGAGGGGGCTGCACTCTGACCATGTCTGCCCTGGAAAAAATCTGCAGAGCGTCTGTAGTCTTATGGGTGATCTGAAGCCTGAAAAATACAGTGCTGATCACAAAGCCACTAGAAATGGCCAAGAGTAAAAGTGCTCCATGGACCTCCCGCCTGTCCTCCAGGCTTTTTCAGAAAACGACTCACAAGACTCCTAACTACTTCCCACACCCACTTCTGCTCCCCACTATTGAGGGAGGCAATTTGGTCCCTAAACATGGCTCTCCTCAGAGGGGAGTTATTATGGATTAAAAACTGGTGGTCAACTTAACACCAGCTGAATTAAATCAGTATAGTGCTGAGCGCAGATGCTTCACCTGAGGAAAGTTGCCAGCATAAATAGAAACATGGAGAAGAAGAGCTAGGCTTGTGTTTCTCTAAGTGTTACTGTTTTGAGCTATTAATTCTGGTGGAGGAGCTCATCATGACAAGCTTCCTCAGTATGAGTTTGACCATTTTAATCAGAGGAGCTTGGGATCTTGTTGGTGAGAGTGGCTGTGGTTCACTTTGGAGGAGTTCTGGTCCTTACATCCAACATTGCTTCCTGGCTCCGGAGAGGAAGACATGTGCTGTTTAATCTCCAGGACAAACTCATCACGCTGGCTTTTAGGCATGTATTCGACTGTTCTTATTATAGGAGGAGCTCGGAACCTCCATGTCGCTGAGGATGGCTGTGGTGCTTTCAGGACAGCCCTGGTCTTTGTTGTGAGTGTGACTTCTCGACTGCAGCATAGAACCCTCATGCCACCAGCACAGCTCCTTCACCCCGCTGGCACAGACTTTCTAGCTTCCACCACTAACTTTTGGGCCTTCCCAGCACGGATCCATAAAACAAACTGGCATTGAGTCCTTCTTGTGGGTTCTAGATCTCCAGATGGACTCATGGGAGGCATTGTCATGGGCTCTAGGTCTTCATCTGGACTCATGTGGGACACTGCTGTGGGAACCAGGCCCTTGGCTGAATATTCTGGGTCTTTAGTGTTGTGGACAGATTCCCTGCACTTTCTTGTGTTAACTCTGGGTGACCATCATAAAATAATATTATAAATTGTGTCCTGATTCTAACTGTTCTCCTCCCAATCCTTGTCTACAACAGGAGTCATCTCCTTTTGGCCTCCTCATGGGTGACACACCCACACATACACACACTCCACAAAGACCTTGTCTGAAAGTCTGGGATTCTGACTGACCATTCCTGGGCAAGAAATATCTCTATTTCCTCCAATAGCAACCTCCAGGCTGCCTTGAGTATAACCTCTAATGACAGCCATACACAGTTTAACCCCCACCCATCCCTCTGCCTGGCTGGCTGGTCACAATTCTGAATCAAAATCATGAAGACCACTTGTCAAGTACTACACTCACCATGTGCCCTTCTATGGACCAGTGGACAGAAGTAGGGCACACCAGGTCTCCATGCTGTTTAAAATGCTCCTGTCCCTCTGACACCTGTGCCTTTGGGAGAGCAGATCAAGGTCCCAATGGAGGGAGAGAAGGCAGTGACGTGACAGCTACAAGCACAAGACACCGGCAGTGAAGGAAACAGTGGTGCAGACAGGAGGGTGTGTGCATGGCAGCACCAGACACGGGGACGCATGAAGGAGGCATGCTGGCGGCTACTTGGCTGTCAGTCACCTTGTCACTTGTGCCCTGACAGAAATTCCTTTCACCTCACTGACTGCTGCATCTGCCTCACCCACAATGTGCCCTCTTCAGTTTGGCTGTGGCTCCTTTTGTGGCACTGACAAATCCACCAGAAGACAGCCCTGCACCTGCCCAGTCAACATTCCCATGCCCAGCTCCACACTCAACCTGGGGTGCAGACCCCACCCACTGGTGGTGTGGTCAAGCAGAGAAAGTTGAACTGACTCTCCTCAGGCAGTGTCCTCCCAGACAAAGGACAGACTTGATTCCTTGGGTGAATTAAAACTCTACATTCTCAGCCAGCCTGACACATGTCCCTGACACTGGTCCATACTTTCCTTCCAGAGTCCTCATGACCACCTCGAGGGAATCTGTCCTGTGGAGAGACCAGGCATTAACTTGCTTCACTCCTAACACACCTTTTGCACATGGATCATCTACTGAACTGCCATGAACCTAGAACAAAGGATGATGACCACTTAGCTCAGTATGTTGCTCACCAGGTCTTCCTACCGCAGCCCACAGAGACACAAATGGGAAACATGCTGGGTCTCTTAGGTTTTTAAAGATTTCTACCCCTTTCCCACCTGAATATTCTGGGGCGACATCTTGGTGCCAGGGCCAGGGTCTTGGGCCAAGCAGAAGCACAACAACTTAAAGAGAAAGTTCTCTGGTATTCAAAGGTAAGCCCACTATTGATGGCACTGGTTCAGCTACTGCTGTGCAACCCTGGAGGGCAGCTGACGTAAATAACGCAGACTGGCCTCATCATCCTGTTTGATGTTTCACGGATACTGGTTTTGTTTAAATTCTGTATGAAGCAAACTGAGCTGATTCCAGCCTCGACCAGCCATATTAATCACAGTGGTGGATGGCTTGCCATACTGCAGGGAAAATTCACCAGAAACCAATATGGCAGAGAATGAACTTTGGATATTGTGGAGATCATTCTCCATGGTTTTCTCCCAAACTCCCCTATTAAAAAACAAAATTAAATAACCATTACTAGAAGGGGAAGATAGTTTACTTATTTTATTCTTAAATAGTCTCCTATAATATATCTATGTGCCTAAGTTAGGAAAGCAAGAAGAAATGATGATTTTATACTGTCTATAAATGTAATCTCTGGCACATGTCCATCCTGCTGGAAATCACTTACCATGCATTTTCTTTCTTCTGCATAATTCTATTTTTAATCTTGAATGATAAGCTGGTAATTTACATCTTTTAGTTAATGGTGGAGAATTTCAAGAAAATGTTTAAAGTTTCACATTATGTTTGAGTACAATAGTGATTTCAAAGCCAAAATATGTGAATCTATCTGATGTGTTACCTCAAATATCTCAACAGTATATATAAGTTTTATTTTCTCCATGTAAAATAGTCTTGTTACAAAAGTATAGATTTATATGAGATCTCTGATTAATTACTTTGTTCCTTAAAGTGTCTTCAGGAAAATTCAAATACCACAAAAATGTATAACTTGAAAAACTTGTCTATTTTATGTAGTCCCTACTTTCAAAAAGCAGTTACTGTTAATATTTTGCAATGTAAATGCTAACATAAATACACATTTGATGGAGATCTGACAGTCTGTCTGCTGTTTCACTTTATTGTGGGCCCTCTGAAATGTCAGTACCACTGCTACTCCCCAGTCAGCAGCTCTGGCCACACACTATTCCATCACTTTGATATACGGAAATTTCCTATTTAACTTTGGATCAGGGTGCCTAAGTTTTTCTACTTTGTTAACCTATGGAAACACTGCTGCAGGGTGTACTCTGTATTTGCACCATGTGTTTCTAGACGTATTTCTGTTAGGCGGACATGACTGAAATATGAATGGTGCAGTTTAACAGGGACTGCATGCAAGCTCTTAGGTTAGCACAGCCCTGATTTGTAAATGTTTAGTAATCCAAGTTAAGACCCAGTTCTCACCTTTGTTGCTAAAGATTTGAGCTTTCCCAGGAGCGACTGTTTATTGGAATACATGATTTCCTCTTCATTGTCTTCCCCTTCCATGATGGCGCAGCTGTCAGCAGCCGGGAGTTCACCCTCTTTTGAGTTCGTCGTCATCACTAGCTTGGAATATTTGTACTCCAATCTAAGACGTAGTAAATAAAATAAAAACTAATACAGTGAGCACTTACATGAATAAGGCAACGCCAGCTCACTACATTGTCTTCTCCTAATGCAGTTGCTCTGCCATCCTAAAACCAATTCTGTGTTCCAAATTAGCAATCATCCAGATGTAAATACTTCCTACCATGTCAGAAAATCTGTTCCAGATGGTTAGTTTATTTTACAATGACTGAATTGTCCAATTATGAAAGACATTTGGAAAACAATGAAACATCTTCATGTCTGAAAGCATTTTCTTAATTTACGTGGATGCCCATCCACTATCACATTTTCTAAAGTTTAATTCATAAGGATGAACATGTTAAACAGTTAAGTACATTCATCCTTACTGGCTTCCTCCATCATTTACACCTTTAGACTTAACTTACCACCTCACATATTATAATCATACTAAATAGCAGAGTATTTATCTTCCAAAGCCACCAAAATGTAAATCATTACGAAAGCTTCAAACATGTAACAGGTCAGGGGTTAGACTTGATATTCAATCCCGAAATTTTAAAGAAGTGAAGATAAATAAATGTGCTATTTGTCTATACACTTAATCTATTTGTTTGCAAGTATCTGCCCACAAGAATTTGAAAAGAAAAAGTGGAGCATGAAGACATCTTGATGGTATAAAAAGAAAACCAGAGAATCCTCTCTTCCCATCTTAGTCATGCTGCCATCTATCTGGTAACCTTTTTCTTTTAATAAATGAATCTAAACTCAGTGACCTCTAATGTTCTATGATATCTCTATGATCAGAATAACAATCACTTCCTCTGCTTTCTTCTCAGAGGCCTTTCATATAATCCCTTCATTTGTCAGAGAATCTACTGGATAAAACAATTCAACTAAAATTTCATCAGTGAACCTCTGAGCCCTTATGTGATCATTTCAGCAAAGTTACTTACTTTTGATTCTTTTTCCAGAAGTAGCAAGTTAGGGCCACCAGCAAAACAGCAGTGAAAGCTCCCACACCAGCTCCCACTTTTAGCCAAAAGTCAATGGTTTCACAGGCCGACAGCTTTTTCTCAGGCAAAGAAATTCCTTTAATGCACCATTTAGGTTCATTCCACACGTACAAGGTCTCCTTTTAAAACAAGCAAATATAGCCACAGACAACATGAGAAATGAGACCCACAGTCAGTGGTGAACACCGAACAGGTCCTTGGGTCACTTCTCATGTAGAAGGAGAGTCTGCTAATCTTTGTCTCACAGTGGACGCTGCAGATTATGCAGCATTCCCTCAAGAGAAGCTCCAGAAAGAGAAGACAAAGGATCAGTAAGGAGAGTGTAAATGAAGTGCAGCACCAGAGAAGAGGCGGGTTTCACATCAGAGACGCTCACTGCAAACAGGGAGGCTGAATTAAAAGGACGCCGCCCAGACACGTCTCTGGGGGCTTTTTTCGTCAGATTTATGGATCCTGACTTCTTAGTCATGCTTTTGACTTGCTCAGGTTGGTTGCTACAATGCATCAGAATGGACTTCCTGGCTCCAACACACACTCATAGCCCAGCTCCTCCCTCCAGGAACAGAGTGACAGCCTCAGCCTCACAGCATGCAGGGACCTATGGTGGCCAGCAGGGATGTCAGGCACAAGGACAGACACATAGACCACCCACTTCTCCATGACAAATGGGGATGTGTGTGGGTCACACTGCCCACCCAGGTCCAGGCGCTCTCCCAAAGCAAGGGGCTCAGTTCCTTTAGGGCAGTGTCCCCAAGTAGCAAGGTAAAACTAACCAAGAAACAAGTCAGTGCAATAGGTCATAAACAGAAACCTTCACATCTCAACATATACAGCAACCAGTAGTAATCTGCCTAGTCAGTGGGAGTTAATGATATGGGGCGTTAATTTTTTTAGTTATGGTGCCTAATTAAGTTTTCTGACATATGACTGCTGCCATATAAACCCCTAAGAGAATAACCCCATAATGTTTAACTTTATGTCATACAGGCATTAATGTATTTTTGCAGTAAATTGTGAAGTGATGTGCAGGAGAATCTTACGTACTTTGAGGAAAAGTTTCAATAAAGTTCTGACTGACCATTTTAAGTATATAACAGCTGTAACATTTTCACTATGGTTAGAATAAATTTGATTTTTAAATGAGTCATGTTTTTGTAAGAATGAGATACAAAATGTGGAAGTGATAAAATTCAGCTGCTGAATCTCTAAGAGAAAATGATGACAATACAGCAAAAAATGTAAACCCCAGTCAGCAAAAGCCAACTTCACTTGAAGTGCAGTCTATCATGAAAAATGACTGTGCGCATTTATATGATTTGATCAGTTTTAAAGCCCATTGAAAATGGCAAGCCCTAACATCTAGAGATAGTCTGCTAAACCTGCTAAAAATTCAAAATTAAAAAGACGCTTATAATTCTAGAATGCTTATTTTTATAAGCTTTTCAAAATACTATAAAAGAATAAAAGTCTTTCTAGTGAAACTCTCCAGTCATCCTGTAACTATCAGTTAGAAAGCCTTATCCTTTCCTCTAACCACATAAGAAAACAAAAAACATCCAATATACAGCTGAAATATTTATCCTCCCAGCAGGCAGTGATATTTTTTTAATAAGATTAAGAAAATTTACTAGGGGCTGAGGATTTAGCTCAGCGGCATAAGCGCCTGCCTTGCAAGCAGGCAGTCATGGATTCAATCCCCGGTAACGATAAAAAGGAAAAAGACAAAAAAAAAAAAAATTAAAGAAAATTTACTGATAAGTTTAATACCTTTCTCTTAGTGACAACAGCAGCAAATCACTGCGTCTTTGCTGTGCGTGACCTCACATGCGATGCCACTCAGAACTGGGAGCAGAGTGCTGAGGTCCAGGCTGACAAGAGTGCTTTCGCACCTTGCCACACCAGCTCTGCGTGTGGGCAAGGAAAGGTGAGTAAGATGTCTCCACACCTGCTGCAGGCAGGCAGCGACTCACCTGCAGCCCTCGCTTGCAGGCGCCCTCAATGGCATGGAAGTCGAGCTCCGTGCACAGCGGGCAGGCCTCAGCGCTCTCCCACAGGAAGTAGAATGCACACCCATCACAGGTGCCCGCTGGGCATTTGCTGAAATGAACAGATAGACAACAGCATCTCTCAACAACACCACATGCCCGCTGAGCCATCCCGGGTGCAGGGTGACAGCTCAGGAAACACAGGAGAGGTCAGGAGAGACAGCACTCACTGTACAGCTCTCCTCAACTACGGACATCAGGAATAACACAGGCAAAAGCAAGTGGTGGGGGTGTGGAAACACGGGAACCTTGGACACCATGACACAGCGCCTCGCAGCCGCACGGCCTTCAAAAGCCTGGCAGTTGCCTGAATAACTACAGAATTGCTACAGACCCTGGCAAGGCTACCCCTAGGTAGATTCATGGAGATCTCTGCCGAATAAGCCATGACACTGTCCCCTCAGCCACCTCATTTACTGGACCTGGCACCGTGAAACTCCTGGCTCTTCCCGAAGCCACAACGACCATGAAAGGGGAACATTCTGCACCAAGTCAGGACATGCAGGCAGCTGCGACAGTGCAGCTAAAGATGTTTGGGAAAGAGGACTCCAGAGCTGCTGTAGAAAGTGGTAAGAACTATGGGGTAAGTCTGTTCCAAGTTAGGAGCAGGGTTTTGCAGGGCATGAATAGGAATATCTTTTACTGTAATAAAATTTTTATTGTAAACATTAACTTGTTGATTTTCTATTTTTTAAAAATTCTGTTTCATTTCTGTCCTTTTTGTTTTGTTTTTGAAATTAAAAATTAAAATTTAAAAAAATTAACCATGTTTTGATCACACTTCATATATACCCAAGAGAAATGAAAGCATATGTCCACAAAAATTGTGTACAAAAATGTTCATAACAGCATTACTCATAATGTCCAAAAGGTGGAGACCCAAATGTTCATATGAATAAATAAATAAATGCAATTTATCTGTTCAATGTAGTACTGCTTGGCCATCAAAAGACATACACCTGTAATCCCAGAACTTGGGAGGCTGAGGCAGGAGGATCATTCTAATTTCAAGACCAGCCTGGGCTACAAAATATGCTCAAGGTCAGCCTGAACTGTATAATGAAACCCTGTCACCAAATAATAATACACACAAAAAAGAAATACAACAGTGATATATGCAATACTTGCACAAACCTTGAAAACACTGTGCTAAAGGAAAAACAACAGTCACAAAATTCACACAGCATGTGGTGCTATTCACATTAAAATCCACCTCCAGGAAGCGGCAGACACAGAGTAAGTCAGGGGCTGCTCAGGGCCTGGTACAGACAGTGAGACCTAAAGAGTTCAGAGGGGTTTTCTTGAGCAGATGAAAAGGTTCTAAAACTGGCTGTGGTGATGGTCCTGTACATCTATGAATAATATAAACACCACTGGATCACAGCCTTTAAATGGGTAAACTGTGTGATGTGCTAATTCTACCTCTACAGAGCTGGTTTAAGTGTGAGAGAGACAGACACAGACAACGTGAGACCTTGGCAAGTTTCCTGGCGGAAGTTGTGCATGGCTGAGTCCAGAACGCCCAGGACGGGTCAGCCAGATGGACAGACAGACAGACAGAGGCAGCACGAGAACTGTACCCTGCCACAGGGAGGCCAGGAGAGCAGAGGGCAGAGAGATATAGGGGCTGGCTTCTGTGGACCTTCCAGGGGAAGTGGTGGGGGAGCAGTCAGGACCCAGAGAGGGGCCAGGGCAGGGCTGCCAGGGCTGCAGGCACTGAGGGTACAGGCCTGGGAAGCAAACGAAATCCAGGACTCCGGAGCTCTGAAGAGTCAGGAAATGTGTCCCATGACATCCCAGCAAAGCAACCCATGTCGCAGTTCAAACAGCCCAGAGCACAGGCAGCGGAGGCCATCACCCTGCAGACCTGGTGGGCACAGAGTACAGGTCTCCCGACCACCAGGGAGCGAGGGCAGACTTGAAATGCAGGTGCTTAAAGAGGTCTGCGTAGGGGCTGGGGATTTAGCTCAGTGGCATAAGCGCCTGCCTTACAAGCAGGCAGTTGTGAGTTCAATCCCTGGTACCGATAAAAAGGAAAAAAGACCAAAAAAAAGACTGATTGATTAATCTTTGGGGCTGGAGGTTTAGCTCAGCAGCATAAGCGCCTGCCTTGCAAGCAGATAGTCGTGAGTTCGATCCCCGGTACCGATAAAAAATGAAAAAGACAAAAAAAAAAAAATTAAAAAAAAAAAGAGGTCTGCATGTGTTTAATTACCTGCAGACTCAGGACATGCTGCACTGACTTCACCCACCTTCCGCTCAATGCAGGAACGAGAGCAGCAGTGCAGCCTTGCAGTGGCTTCTCCCACAACACATCACTGACTGCACTGCAGTTTTAGGTTCTGCATTACAGTAATGCATACAGGAGGTACGCAAACAAAAGCAAAGTCATCAGGTTGGAGTTTCCTTTGTCCTGAATATTGCAATGTACATAACATAATGCAGTTGCTCATTTAGCAACCTTCATAGCATGCCCTGGCTGTGAACCAGGTTTAGTCTAGAACTAAGAACAAGGCACATGGTGTCTCTTTGGAAAAATGGTTTAACTTTTATGTTTCTATTTATCTTCTGTAAAAAGAGAATAATGAATATACTCCAGACTAAGAAACAAGCAGAAGCTTAACACTAGTGAAGTGAGAACAGCCAGTAAGAACCATGTCACATACATTACCCCTACTCCCCACTGTCTGCATTGGGAGAGCAGTTCACAGCTGTGCTTCAACTGAGAAGAAGAGCATAGCCCTTCAGGAAAGTCCTCAAAAACGGAATTGCTATTTTCACAAAAATGAAAAAATACATCTTTTAAAATAGTTACTTTTCTGATCAAGTTGGAAAAATTATTAACATGCTCTCTAGCTCCAATAGTTCCTCCACAAATTATTTCCAGTTTTATCTTCCCAATACAGAGAAGCTATAGAGATGGGGGAAACAAACTCCGGCGGGGGCTGCTGCACAGTGGTAAGGACTCAGCACCTGGGGCCCAGGATCAAAGCCCCAGCGTCAGGTGAATCTGCACCCATTCTCATTCTCCCATTCTTATTCTCTCTCTCTCCCTCCCTCCCTAGAAAAAAATAATTTGAGAAAAAATAATTAAATATTTTTAAAAGAAAAAATTAGTCAAAATTTCTATAACCCTCAGAGATAACAGGTATGTTGCAGTTCTACTTGGACTTAGAAACATGGTTTCCACAGATGTCTCAACCCTCCTCCTGTCCTCTGCTACATTTGTTATTTGCTAAACTCAGTATCCTCTCTACTTCCTTCAGAGGTTAGAATGAATACAATGAGAGAATAATTTTGCAAAGTTTAAGGCTTTGCAAAAATATAAGACTATTAACAATGCACATCATTCCCTAAAGAATGGAAACAATTTCAGAAACTGCCACCAAGAACCAAGAGGCTGATGAGATACGATGGGCCTGCTGTCACCGATATCAAACCCCACAGTTACTCAGTGCCCATCCTGGGCAGACCCCATCTCCTAAAGGTATTCCTGGGCTAACAGGAGTTTAGTTTAGGACCAATTCCTCAGTTCTCTAAGCCCAGTACATCATGTAGAATGCACAATATCCATGTAGGACCCTCTGCTCTACACCAAAGGGGGCGGCCTGAATCAAGCCTTCTCTGCAAAATGACACGCACACACAAAACAGTAAATTTCAGCAGTGTTCATTTACAGAATTAAAAGGAAAAAGCATAAAAGATTTTAAAGGCAACAAGTGGCAAACTAGACAGACACTTTCCTGCCAAACATCTGAAACACTGCTCCTTTCAATTATCTGCAGCACCAACACACCCCTTCCACCACCATCCAGCCTCCTAAAGCTGGATGAGACGTGCGGAGTGTGTGGTGCCTTCCTCACTCAGGCTAAAGACAGCCCACGGCCAAGGCTGAGCACATGGCAGCTGGTCCTGTAAGAGTCCCACAAGTGCTGTGTGACCTGGGGAGACCTGTGCCAGGGCGGCCACATGGACCCTGAATTCGCTTTCACCATAAACAAGGGTCAGGCTTCCTGGCTTCCTCACCTGGCTTCTGCCACTGCCGTATTTAAACACAATCACTGGCGACCTCTCAGAATTAAGGCACATCTTTGTTTAGAAAGACAGGTCTTGGCCTCTAAACTGAGATACATCTTTTGGGGGACATCCAGACCGAGCAACTGTACAGAGTAATCTGTCAAATAAACTCTTTCCTGTAGCAGGATCTGCTTGGCTCACCTGATGAAGTCACAGAGAAGAACCCTCTCTCACCACCTCCTACTTAGCCTGGTCTTGTTCAGCTCCCAAGGCAGTGCCGATTTGCTCAGATTCCAAGTTCAAATTTCCCTGCAGTGTCAGGACCTCCCTGACCTTCCAACATGTTCTCAGGGCAAAGGTCAGGCCATGTCCCTGGAACACCTTTGGCCTAGTGAGGATGCTGTTGTTGGGAGCTTCTCCCAGCGCAGAGTCTGAGAAAGGTGACAGGATGCCTGGCAGTGTGCCGGGACTGTAGCCTGGTGGTGTGGGTGGTGTGGGCTGCCTCTCAGCTGCAGCCAGTGAGGCCTCCCAACCTCTACCTCACAGGAACCTCAGGCTTTCCCAGCTGAGACTGCCTGCTCATGGGCAGAGGAGTCTCTCCTGAGGGTGTAGAAAACACCTGCCAGGCTGCTGTGGGCCGAGATTGGAAAGTACCATCGCCTGTGACTTCCCTCATCCACACAGGCTGTACGGTTCGGTGTCTAGCACGGCACTCCGGACTGAGACCTGGTGCAGAGAGCCAGCATCCAGGGTAGGCCCACTGTGTCCTCACGTGGGAAGGCTCTACCTCCCATCAGAGGTGGCTCAGCCTGACAACCTGTTCGCCTCTCACACACATGCCTCCTAAGACCCGTAGTTCAGCTTAGTGTCAAAGGAGGCTATTTCAGCCTTGAAGTTGGGGGAACACAAATATTCAGACTCCAGCACACTGAGTCTGAACACAAGATTTCCCTTTGCCTATAGGGAAATCCTTTTGCTCTTATATCAAGGAATACAAAAATATACCAATCTCCTATGAAATCTTTCCTTTTTGAAGAGTCTGTCTTGGGTTAATTATCCAACATCAGCATCTAATCAGAATCTGGACAGAGTAAATTAACTTATATTCCCTGGTTTCTTCTGTTAATACATTCTGTGTCTTTCTTGTGGAAAGACTTAATCACTCTTCTTTCAAAGCTGATCTTAAGATTTTGCTTGTCATTGTCCAGATCGCACAGTCGCAGCCAGTCTACCTTAGTTTTTCCACTCCTTACCTTCCAGTTCTTTTCCTGTACACTCCTGATGCTTTCATAGAACTCCCTACACTTTAGTCTTCTAAGGACATATCTGGTTTTAATCTTTGAGTTCTAACACCATCTTAATTTACCTCGTACAGATTTCAATATCTATTATCTGTATTCAGAGGGAAGAAGAAAATAAAGGGCTCGTGGGATCATCTTTCTCTGGCTCTCACTAACATAAAGTGCACAGACTTTCTGGTTTTCACACTCTTTCCCCACTGACCAAACCAACTACTGCGTTACTGTCTAATGACCCTGATGGAATGAATAACGTAGAACCCATGGAGCGCCACGACCCTGCACACTACCAGGACAGAACAGGGAAGCATCCCTTTCACCATAGGATGATATCCCAGGGCCACACTAATGAAGATGGGTCTGGATTCTGAAAGGTTTTGGCCAAACAACTTTAGATTGATTTATTTATGTAATCATGGTCAAAAATTGGAAGGCAAAGAGAGACATGAAGACATTTTTACTCCAGTGTGTAGTATTAACAAAGGCAATGATTCATTTACCAGGGAGATGCAGGTTGCAGAGTTACCCTTGGGGAGGAGGGAAGGACGGTAGATAGGTTGCTTCTGATTATTTCAGGGCAAGCTTCGGTTTCTGGTGTGTGGCTCCCTGAGCTCCCCCTGGTGTCCTGATGGGAAACTGACTCAGGAGAAAACTGAAGGTGGCCACATTGTGACAGAGGAGAAGCCACTCCACGAAGCAGGAGACACACTTCAGTGTGCATCACAACTGCATACAGAGCACTGCTGTGATCTAGGTGAAGACAGTCAGCCTGTAGGCCACAATAGTTTACACTAGGGTTTCACAACTAAGATGCAACACACAGCTGGAAAATACAACTCAGGAAAACAAGCCATATTTACAGAATGTCCTGTAAGACAAATGACTCAGATTTCACTATGCACCCAAATTGCCTTGTGTATTTAAAACTAGCTTTATGCTTAACACTGACATTCCAAAAGTTTTAGAAATCAAATTTTAAATAGATGCCCTTAGGTTTCTGAGAAACTCAGGATTTTGAGAAACTCTGCAAAGACAGTTAAAGTACCCAAGGGGCAAAGACTGCCGGAGGTCAGGGGAGGAACCAGTCTCCTCACGGCAGCAGTGGGTGTCAGATGCTGTCATTAGCACTGTGGGACTGTTTCCCTCATGACAGTAAAACATTAAGATGCATCTTGAGGGCAGACAGAGCCACTGTGTGTATTTCTAAAGGCCAGACCCAGTCCTTGGAAACATCATCAGCGTGAGCTAGAGCTGCCCAGGTAGACTCCCAGGAGGGATATCCATGGGGCTGGGGTCCGGAAACAATGTCTGCAGCAGCACAGCACCAGTAGGAGCATGCAAACGTAGGGTCACACCATGGGCCTTTGTGCCTAGGGCCCTAAACCCCTCTTCACACAAAGTGTGGCTGCCCAGACTCCAGGGGAGCCTAGAGAGGGGCCACGAAGGTGCTGACGCAGGACTCCTGTCTACTGCCTTCACTGCTACTCCTCTCATCACGGCTTTGTCTTAGGAATAACTAACTCTTAGTCTATGGCAAACAGAGAGATGGAGCTGGTGATAAAAAAAATGCTAGCATACCTGTGTATCTAAAAATCAACCCCAAATACTATGCTACCACTATGGTTATTTTCAGGATACCAATGATTTCCAATCCTGATGTGATACATCTTAAAATGCCTCAAGAGTTGTTGTGAAATTATCAAAAACACATTAAATCAATCATCTGCTTTTTAAGAACATATGCCTTTACACTTTGATGAAGAAAAATCTGCCAATCAGACTGTGATCCAATGTGCCTTAATCCTAACAAGATTAAAAATAATTTATATATTGAGCAAAAGTAACTGAAAAATAAAAATCGAGAGATATGTCCCTGTATCTCATGCCATCAAAGCAATCATTACCACAGCTAGCGGTTTTCTGAGTCTAGGAAATCAGCCATGGCTCCACAGTCTCCCTCTCAGAGTGCTGTGTTTGTCACACACCACACCAGAAGTGGAGAGCTGGTCAGCTGCATGCCCTCTGCAGGTCAGACTCACCTTGATGGTTTGGCTACCACTGATCATGGTCATGAAGAGTTGGAAACATATCCTACAAGTTACCACGGCCTTCCAGATAGGAACTGAGACCCAGAAGTTGGGCTGCTTCATCCACATCACCCAGCTACATAATTAACTGGGGGTTTTTTGTTTTGTTTTTTGTCTTTTTCTTTTTTATCGGTACCGGGGATTGAACTCACAATCACACACTTACAAGGCAGGTGCTTATGCCGCTGAGCTAAATCCCCAGCCCCTATAGTTAACTGTTGATCTCACCCATAAATCAGTAGAGCTCTAATCCAGCTCTCCAAGAAATGGAGGCTAAAAAGAATAAATAAGGGACATGAACAGTGCCCAAATAACTTTCAAGGGAATTAGTCACTCAAAGATGCATCAGTACAAAGGCCATGAGTGCTGAGATTGAGCAACAGCTGTGTCTAATCAGCACACAGTACATCCTACCACAAAAACCCGCAAATCCCTGTTCTCCTTCTGCTTTGTCTCCATAAAGAATGTGCCTTAAAATAGGGAGCGTCTAGTGAGTTTTGCTTCTAAAACTAAACACAAATGTGGAATGGCCACAGAATACCTAGGGACTGAGATCACGCCCACTCCAGCTTTCACAGGATTACACCTCATTTTCACAGCAGTGGATCGGCCATCGGAACAAGACGGTGTAGTTGTGGAAGATCTGGAGGGTAAATAGCATTTTAAAAAACAGATACAATACAGATTACAAGACAAAAGTGTGTGTATAACATCTGCCATACTCTGTGAACAAAAGAAAAACAAAAAGTTAATTTAATTTAAAACTTCAATGCAAATTCATTTCCTTCCAGCCTCTGGAAGGCTGACCATTTTCTTAGGTAACATTGTAAGGTAAGATATTTATAAGATAAAGCTGCCATAATTTTAATCAAAATTATAATCAAAATATTTTAAAGGTGAAAGGGGTCTATTTCCTAAGTCATAAATGAGCTAGCAGCTCACCTATTTATTTAGGCTGATGTTTTTATGTGAATTAGAAGTAACTACTATTTATGCAATGAATATAGTCTTTATTGCTTCATTTAAAGGAATATATTTTACCTATATATCCATACATGTATCTACACTTTAGAGAATTACATAAGTTTTGGGAGTAATAAAATACACACAATGTATATGAGTTCCTTTCCACTAAACACTAGCTAATCCAAGAAAACAGCATCTTCACTTACTTATAAAAGAAGTGCACGTCAGGTACTTGGCTTGGTGAAACAGGGAACATATCTTCTTTTATATTAATGTTTTGCAATGTGGATTCAACTGTCACTCCTAGATGGCATTAAAAAAGAAACTATTAAGAACATAACAATGTTTAGTCCCTGCATATTATAACAGAAAATAGTTCTACTTTGATGACTGTCATTTCATCAGAAATACTGTATTAAAGCAATGCATTCCTGGTTTTAAAATAAAGATCTTTCCAAAGCCTTCAGAATAAAAATATTCTTCTGAGCCTTGTAATTAGCTGAAGTCATGTTACTTCCCTGGGTCTTAGTCCTAGGGCCTTAGTCCATCTGTAAAATGAATGCAGTGATACAAGTGATTTCTAAAATCCCTTCCAGTTCTAATAATTCAAAACTCTACTACTGAAATTATCATCCTCCGGTGGGTTTTGTCAAATCAGCTGAGCTACTGTGCTCATGCAGCTTTTTGCTCAGTGCCTACATACAGTGGTTATAGCTACTTGAGAGGCTAAAAAGCAGAGGATGGCCACAGCGAGACTCCACATATCCTAATAAATTTTAGCAAATAACTTTAAAATCTACTTCATCTAATAAGCAAAAAGACAGGATTTCCTTCCTCTCTCTTAATAGATGAAGTGATAGAACCGATTCCAGAAATGGCAGCAGCACCACACTCTGGAGTTGGGCCCTTACTGCAAGTTAGGAAGCTGTCCGTGGTGCTGATATCTGAAGTGACATTCCCCACCCTCCTCACATCCTTGGTTCTCCAACCTGACTGTACACCTGAATCGCCTGCAAAGCTTGTTAAAATTCCCAGTCCTCACCAGAGAAGTTCCAGTAAACTCAGACCCTAAGAATCCTGGGTTCACAAACCTACATCCTTCTTAAATTTTCCTATCTCATCTAGAACCTTACAGACAGGAGGTGGACAAGCACCTCACCTTTGCTGCTAGCTCATTTATGACCTAGGAAAAGGCTATGAAAACTGATGGCATAAACTATGATTCAGAGTTAGATTGTTTTTGCTCATTGTTCTTACATTTTTGTTCCTGTTCTTTCCCTTTTATCATTAGCTTGGCTCTTTATCTGACCAAAGGCATATAGCCTCATAAAATGTCACATCACTTACAAGTCTGCATCATAAGTTTAGGATCTTCTTGCATTTTGTGAGATGATCAACAGACCCCCTTGGTGGGGTTTTTTCAGCATTTTACAAAGTGATTCAGAATTACCTGTGGACCTTAGCCATCTGTGGCAAACACTAATGCAATGGTAAGTTATGGTGATGATAATTTATCTCCCAAAATGCATGTATTTCTTAGCCAAAGGAAGCTTACCTAAGAATGTATCAGCCAAGATGATGGACTGGGAAGACAAGGCTGCTCGGAAACCCTTGCTCTCAGAAGGAATGATTGTTGACTGGCATACAAATGCTCCTACCAGATTCACATAATCATCTGAGCCCACCACCGTTTCCTTCAGTGTGAAGTCTGAGATGTTGTTGGTGCAAAAAGCCATCTTCTTCCCCTGAGAAGCAAAGTCATGAGCAGGAGGTTTTCTTCAAAGTCTATCTCTAAATGGAGCCTCAGCCCATGACCATAATTCATTGCTCACCACAGAGACACCACTTTAACTGATCTGGGGTAAAACACAGGCATTCCATATTTTTAAAAACCTCTTGTGGGAACTCCAATGTCCAGCCAGGACTGAGAGCCACTGCAGAACATAGCTGCCCTGTTCCTCACACTGTGAGTACCACTGGTGTTGAATGGAAGCCACATAACTCAAAGGAAGAACAGCCAGTGATGAATACTCAATCCCTACAACAAGCATGCAAAGAGACCAGTAAATACTAGTGCAGACTTCCAGACAAGAATAGAGTCTGCTCTCTGCCCTCCTTCATAGGCCCAAGTGTAGCAGAAAGGCGTGGTGAGGCTGAAGAAGGAAACCAGTGGACATATGATAGCCAGACACGGCGCAGCAGAGCTCCCTCCTTTGATGATACTCAGGAACTAGAGACCTATAGGAAAGCCAGCGACACGGTAGCAACATCATGTGCGGGAGTGCACATGATGGTCAGGCAGTACTGGTGGCGCGAGAAGTCTAAAGCAACAGTAACAACATGAGCCAGCAAGTTCTAGGTGAGGTGAACCAGCCTTGTGCTTAGGGATAGAGACGCGTGGAATAGAGACAGCTGGGCAGGGCCGCCCCCTTTCCTTTACTTTCTGCTTCTTTTTCTCCTTTTCAAATGGCTAGGGAGAACTTCCACCACATAAAACTAGTCCCATTCTCCAAATTCAGAGACAAACATTAGACCTACACCCAGGACAAATCCACCCGCAATCTTAGCTAGAGTACACATTCTGGGATCAAACTTGGACCAACCACAAAACTGTAGACTCAAGAGGAATCTCACTATTCTTACTTTCCTCTGTCTGATGGGCTTTCCTCTTGGTAGTCAGCTGAGATAGTGTGGTTTGTTTTGTTTTTTGTTGTTGTTCATGGTGGTGGTTTTTAGGTCTTCCCTCTTTTCTCTCTGTTGTTTTGCCCTGTTTTGTTTTTCTTTCTGTGTGGTTTTTTTCTCATGTGTTCTTTTCATTTCCTGTTTTTTCTTTTTCCTTTCTTCCTCTTTTCTACCTTCCTTTCTCTCTCATTCACAATTTATAGCTCTAAACTTTCTCTTTGCATTATTCTGCTTATCCCGTTCCTCTCTTGTCAACTATCTTGCTTGATTTTATGAGACGTCCATGTGAGTAAGCACTGTCTCTTCTCTTTCTGATTCACTTTAGCATTCCTAGGCTTTCTCTTCCAGGTCCTTTCTTGCATCCTACAATTACCCAAAACCTGGGTGATCATCCTGTGCACACCAAACCTGCTCCTACTGTATTTCACCTCGTCCCCCCTTCACCCCACAACAGGGTAAAATCACTCTACAAAGTGGAAAAATGTTGCATTAAGTTCCTGATATAAGCTGGATGATATTATATAACTAAAAAACTTGCACCTACAGTCAAAGAAATCAGGCTAATATCTACCACTGTTTGTCAGTGGGAGGCTGTGCTTGAATCTATCATTAACTGGTGAATATATTGCTAACTTCACACAGAACGCCATATCTGTGATAAACTGTTTTTCTCCCCTGTGTGACAATACTGCAATTATAAGGAGTCCTGGCCATCATTACAGTCCTATCAGGAATGAACCTTGAGTCAAACTGATAGCAACTCCACATTCTTAATACATTGGGAAGGCAGGTTCTTGGGATAAACAGAAATACCAAGAACCACTATGTCTACAGACAACCTGAGGTACAGATATCTTCTAGGAAAACCTAGGCACCAAAATAAAACTACCTAACATAATAAATCTACAAGCATAAACACATAAAACAAAAGAAAATAAAAACTATAAAGTGACAAGATACAACCCCCAACCCCCAAATGTCCAGCCCACCCAGTACAAGTCCAGAGTGTAAAAACTTAAGAGAAAATCAGAAGTCAACCACTCAAACTCTCTGAAAGCAACATAAGTGAAAAAACAAATGGATAAGGCCATAGAAAAAATAATACCTAAGGTTCAAACAGAAATGACAATCAAAATGAAAGACAGTAAAGCACATACAGATAAAAAAATACAGGAGTCTAGGAAAATGATGGAAAATATGAATGCCCCAAATAGACAAGAAATGAGATCAATGAAACAGATCCAAATAGAAATCCAGGAGAGTAAACTCCACTGAAAGGGGCTGGGGATTTAGCTCAGCGGCATAAGCGCCTGCCTTGCAAGCAGGCAGTTGTGAGTTCGATCCCCGGTACTGATAAAAAGACAAAAAAAAAAAAAAAAAAAAAGAATTTGGACTCTAAACTCCACTGAAAGTATACACAACAGAATGCATGAAGGTAAGGACAGAATATCAGATGTAGAAGGCAGGAATGTGACCAGCAATCAGGAAAAGAAAGATATCTTAAACACAGCAAGGGACCACAGAACAATCAATCCAGTAGCTACAAGCTGAAGCAAAGAACATCAGATGGACTAGAGTCAGTGAGAAAGCAAGAGACAGCGCAAAAGTTATTAAAAACCTCTTCACAGAAATACTGGCAGAAAAAATCCCAAACATGGATAAAGAATTTGACATACAAATAAATGAAGCATATATAACTTCAAATAGCCATGACCAAACTATATCTACACCAAAGCATACGATAAGATTCCACGCCAGGGGTTTGGCTCAGCAGCACAAGCACCTGCCTGGTAAGGGTGAGTTCATGAGTTCAATACTTGGTACCAGAAAAATAAAGTTCACCTTTAAAAAAATTCCAGAAATTCAACACAAGAATAAAATATTAAAAGCAGCTAAAGAAACAAATTGCCTATAAAGGAAAGCCCATTAGACTTCTCAACACAAACCCTCAAATAAGGTAAGCCTGGGGTGAGGCCTAAAAGCAAACAATCTTCAACTCAGACTGAGGTATCCTGAAAAACTATCTTTCAAAATCAACAGAGAAATAAGATCCTTCCATGACAAAAAATAACAGAAGAAATTTATGACAATCAAGGCAGTACCACAAAATGCTCTGAGGTATACACAAGAAAGAGATAACAAAGAACACAAACACATGACCACCAACAGAAAGAAGTTGCAAGAAAAGCATTAAACAGAGGACAAAGACAGGGAACCAGCATGAAAATAATATGAAAAAGATAAGACAATACATACCAGTTTAACCATCAGTGTGAATGTCTCAACTCATCAATCAACCAAAGAAACAAATTGGCAGAACACATTAAGACAAGACCCAGCAACATTCTGTATTCAAGGAGCACATTTAACTCAAAAAGAAATTCATAGACTAAAGTCCAAGGACAGAAAACAATTTTCCATGCCACAAAAACCCAGAAAAAAGCAGGGGTAGCTATTCTATTTGCATGCAATGTAAACTTTAAGCCAAAGCTGATCAAAAGAGACAAGAAAGGTCACTACTTAATTGTTAAGGGAAAACTACAGAAGAAGAGATAACAATCATAAATATATAGGCACCAAACACTAGTGCACCTGTCATAGTTTATGTTGGTGGCTCCCAAGCCTCATGCCTTTGCATTACGCATTTGAAATTGGTTCATTGTCTATCACTTGGATTGAGGGAGTGAGTGCTATGCCGGCCTGCAGGTGGAGCCAGGATGTGATATAATAGCAGGAAAAAGGCGTATCTTGCTCTCTTGCAGGTTTCCAGCTTGCTGTTTGCAGCTACCGTAAACTGTGGCCCCGCCGTGCCACCCTGCCTTAGAGCCAACTAAGTATAGACTAAAACCTCCAAAATCTGTAAGAAATAAACCTTTCCTTTCCCAACTTTGGGCATCAAGTATTTTGTCTCAGCAACGAGTTAAAAATAACTAAGACAGCACTCACCTACATAAAATAAACATTAACAAAATTGGAAAAGGATATAACCAATAAAGAAAACTACAGGGCAATCTCTCTAATGAAGACAGATAAAAAAAATACTCAATAAGATAATGGAAAACAGAATGCAGCAAATCATCAAGAAGATTATACACCATGACCAAATAGGATTCATCCCAGGGATGCAGGGATAGTTCAACATACACAGATCAATAAATGTAATACACCATATTAACAGAACCAAAACAAAAATCACATGATCATCTCAATAGTTGCAGAAAAAACATTTGACAAAGTCCAACACCCATTCATAATAAAATCTCTAAAGGAAATTGGAATAGAGCTTTTTACCTTAATCTGATAAAAGCCATTTAAGACAAACCAATAGCTAACATCATATTAAATGATCAAAAACTGGAAGCTTTCACTCTAAAATCAGAAATAAGACAAAAATGTTCAATATCACCTCTCCTATTCAAAACAGTTCTGGAAACATTAGCCAAAGCAATTAGACAAGAGAGAGAAATAAAATCAGTAAGGATCGGAAGAAACAAAAGCAATAAAGGTAGGAAAGGAAGAAGTTAAAGTATCATTATTTACAAATGACATGATGCTCTACATAGTTCCATCAAAAAACTTGTAGATTTAATAATCAAATTCAATAGTGTAGCTAGATACAAAGTCAACATTCAAAAATAAACAGCATTACTATACATAAGCAACAAACTCACAAAGCAATAAATTATGGAAACCATACCCTTCACAATAACATCCAAAAATGAAATACTTAGGAATTGATCTAACAAAAGAAGTAAATGATCTATACATTTAAAACTGCAGTACTCTGGAAAAGGATCAAAGAAGATATCAGAAAATGGAAGACTATATTGTGCTCATGGGTAGGAAGAACCAACATAGTGAAAATGGCCCTGCTCCTAAACCTGTTACATAGATTTGATTCAATCAATCAAAATACCATTAGCATACTTCACAGAACTAGACAAAACATTCCTAAAATTCATTTGGAACTGGATGAGACCTAAAATAGCAAAAGCTATTCTGGGCAACAAAGGCAAGACAGAGGGTATCACAATTCTTGACTTGAAATTGCACCACAGTGGCCTCATTTGTGTTGGTGAGAAGATGGGTTTGTCACTTGATACAGAGTTTGCAAACTGAAGCAAAATTCTGCTGAACACCTGAATACAGAAGTGTTCATGAACTGAGGCATTACTTTACTTACTATTTGTAAGTGGACTTACTATTTGTAAGTAGACATGAGTGGACTGCATGACCATTTGGTCTAGTGCATGTGGGATCACCCATGTAAGATCAGGAGAGCGCAAACCCAGAGCACGTTTTTGTTTGAAAACTTCTGCCATCATCAGATCTCTTTTAACTAACTGCCAATAAGGAAGTCTGGCACAGGATGTGTTAGTGAAGACATGTATAGAAGTTAAGGGCTGGGGATATAGCTCAGCAGCACAGTGCCTACCTGGCAAGCGCATGGTCACGAGTTTGATTCCCAGTACAAACGAATGAAAGACAGAGAAGTTAATATGAAAGAGATGTGGTGAGAAGGCCTTATAATTTTCCACCTATCTTGATGGTTATAAGCAGATAAATTCTTCCCAATCTTGGCCTCAGATGCTCATAAACATAAGGGACACATGATCCACAAAACTGCCCACTAACAGTACGAAGTAAGGTTCTGCTCCTTCCCACAGAGGAAAAGTCCCATTTCTGATCAGCAGACTCCTCTATCAATTGATGTTTGACCCTGTATCCCTCCATTTCAATTTGCAACAACTTCCTCTTCTTGAAACCAAGCTGATAACGTGAGTGCCATAGTTGGTTCTGGCATCAGCCTAGGTAGACAGACAGCTGCCTGGTCAATAGCAGGCTGTGACCCTGCATGGTGCTGTTTCCAAAGGAGATGGGTACATCTGGTGGCGGATGAAGGGGAGACCAGCCCACAAGGTAAGCAGGCACCAGCCAGGTGCTGAGGGGCCCAGCGGGACAAAGGCAGAGTGAAGGTTTCTCCTCACTCTAAAGTTGGGTGCTCTCCCTCACCTGCCTGGACACTGGAGTTCTGGGCTCTCTGGCTTCACTGGCATCCCAGGACTTGCACCAGCGGCTGCCCAGGTTCTGAGGGCTTCAGCCTCATTGGGAATCGCACCATTGACTTCCCCATCCTCAGGAACTTGGACCATGATGAGGCACAGGACAGGCACCCCAGGGTCTCCAGCACAAGGACAGCCTGTTGCAGATGCCTTGGGCTCCAAACTACCATTGCCAAGTCCCTTAGAAATCCTTTCTCCCATACATCTTTCTTCTCTTTGGCAAACTAATACAGAAAGCAACGGTAAGACTTTTCTCAAACCATAAATGCTTGCCTGAAAACCTCAGGAGCATAGACAAGCATGACCCACTTCCAAGCATACAAACTGAAAAGTCCTGAGGGCACAGATGCTGTGGCTCCAGACCTGGGCACCTCCAGGTGCCTGGGATCCCACTGAGGCTGCATGGGCAGAGAGCACTACCAGCCTGATGGAGGCACCTGCAGTTTACCTGACCTCTGCTCAGGTCCTTACACAGTACTCAGCACCCACAGCAGCTTCCCTGGTCCATCTGCACAGGGGATGTGAGCTCAACCCAGGCCACAATGAGCTGCACCCTGCTGGCCAGCCCAACTCACCTCGTGCCCACACAGACTGATGTTGAAGAAGTGGAAGTATTTGGTCCCTTTGGAGGTGAAGCTGGGGCCATTCATTAGGGAGCCCACGCTGCTCAGGTTGCTGAAGTCATAGTGCAAGCTCCGGTTTTCTTTCTCATGGTAAAAGAAGCAGTCACTGTAGCAAACTGAATGGTCCTTGGTTTGACAATGAAGAAACATATAGAAACAATATTGCAGGAGAGAAGGCTTTAACTCCAGCTAGGATATGTTTCCAAAAGGATCTAGATATAAAGTAGGTACTCTGGTAATTTTTAGTTCTACATTACTGTGCTAATAGCTCTAAACTCTAGATTTCTCTAGAAAAAACTCAGAGGATTCAGATCTTTTAGTAAGTTACTCTTGAGTAAGCTTCTTACAGAAAGGTATTTTAAGGAAAACAACAAAACTACTTTCTCCTTCACCCAGTATAACATTAATCTTTGTCTTTAAAACTTTCTTATAACCTTGGCTTTCCAAATAACTCCTACAGCCAGCCTGCAGTAGTTTGCTTGGCGTACTGTATGTCTGTGGTGATTTGCAATTTCATAGCACATATGCAGTGCTCAATAGAGGTAAAAGGAGGGAAAACAATGAAGGGGATTAAAAGGCTTTTTTTTTCAGAATACACAGCAGCTCCACAGCTTAAGGGGGTCCTGGAGTCCCCCTGTCAAAGCTGGCTTTTGTGGGGCAACACCACGCAGTCACTCACCTGGCTGCTCCTGCTCCCAGGCCCGCAAGGAATACACGCCTCCTTGCCGTAGACCTGGTGGGTGGACAGGCGTGTGTCGGGGGGACACTCCTGGCACTGGTTGGCTTCCTTCTCAATGTAGTGGCCTGGGGGGCAGGGGACACACGATGAGCCCGACTGCTCAGAACCCAGCGCACAGGTGCGGCAGGAAGACGCCACCCCGTCAACTGCATTACTGGCTGTGATGGAATAGATCTTCACCACATCCTTGATGAACCGTCTGTTCTAGAGAAAGAGCAGAAAGAGGTGACTCCTGCCTGGTCTGCGGGCCACAACACACTGGCTCCAACTGATGCCACCAAATGACAGCCCGGAAGTGTATAAGTGACGATGGGTGACTTCAACCCTATTTGATTCTTAAAACACAAAAATACAACAACAACAAAAAAACCCTTACACCTTGCCATAAGTTTTTCCCACCATAGTGGAATCCAGGAACGGTACTCCAGGAGCCATGAGCTGGATCGCACATGGTAGAAACTCAGCTCCTTCACATGGGAAGAGTGGCTGCCCTGACTGAGGAACAACTCCATCCCCTCACTGCTGCTCAGGTTCGCATCTGTACTTAAGGGTACCCAGGCACTGAGATCAGCAGGATGCAGCACCCGGCGTCCAGCACTTAGGGGACCCTGGAGGACTAAGACCAGTGACACGGGCAGCCACATAGCTGCCTGCACCTCCTCTGCTCTTGTCCTTGCCTGGTCATCGTGTTCTGACTCCCACTGACAGGGTGTGCATGCAGTGGGAAACAACAGCCTGGCCTGGCTGTTCCTTCTTTGGACAGAGCCAGCCAAGGCCTGATTTTCATCAAACAGTGGGCAGCACTGTTCAAGCACGGTTTATTCCAGACTGCCTGATGCTTTCTGCCTAGGCAAAAAAGAAAGGACAGCAATGAGGGGCATCTCTGCATGTGCCCTGAACACTCCTGGAGAACTAGAGTTGAGGAACTCTAGGGAAACTTCCTGCAGCCCGAGGAGGAGAGCCACAGCACCCTGCAGGCCCCAGCGTGCAGATCACTTTGGCCCAGAGGACTTGCCTTGCTCTCATCTTGAGAGTCGTGTCTATGCAGACCACAGAAACAGTCCTGCTAGTACTGCAACCTCTGGAGCAATTACCTTAGGGCAAGGCCAGCGCTATTCTCCAGGGAAGGAAAAGGACATGACGCTGTGTGTCCACCCCATCAAGTCTACATGCACAGTCTCTAAAAGGAGACATTACCATTGTGACAAAGCAGAGCGCCTAGTGCCACACATGCCCCTGAAACAGTCAGACCATTCAGACAAGGAGGAAGAGAGCTACCATCTTCCAAGTCTCAAAAAGCTTCAAAGCAAAATTTTAGATAACTACAAAATTAGATTTTCTCTTAAGCTTCGAGGAATTATTTATGTTCAGAAGTTAGAATAACTCAAAATTATACTGAGCCATTCCATTTCATTCTTACTTCAACAAATACAAAACGCACCATTTTCACCAGAATTGCCCCCATAACGAATGACTGCACCCACAGGGTCACCCTGCCCCTCCACACGGGGGCACCCACTGCCTGGCACTTACGTCCTGGCCCTGGCTGGTCCTCTGGAAGGCCCAGGTGAATGTGAAGGTGGCGTTCTTGAAGATGAGGTGAGTGTATGCTTGCTTCTCTTTGGTTCCACCCCATGATTCCACCACATTGGTGCTTTTTCTATTAATATCCTAGACAGCAAGGAAGCATGAACAGAGCACAACTCAGTGCTGACACAGGTGCACTCACGACACGCATGTGCTCACGTGAAGAGTAAGGGTTGCGGGGTCACGACACTACCGCGCAGCACAGGAACCCAAGTCAGGGCACGTGTTAGGGCTGGGTTCTGTTTGCTCGTGTTGTGTGTGCGTGTGATTCTAGCTTGGAACACAGGCTCAGAAGAAAAGATACAAGTCCTTAACTCCTCATGGAATGCTTCCAGAATTCCTACCAAATGGAAAAGCTTTCCATTTTTATCGTTTTCCTTCAGAGTCTGACAGGCAGCTCTTGCATAGAAATCCTAAACTCCCCCTGAATTATATGCTTGGATTCTAGAGCTGGGTGTGGTGGCAGATTCCTCGAATCCCAGTACCTGAGGCTGAGGCAGGAGAATCACTGTGAGTTTGAGGCCATCCTGGGCTACACAGTGAGTTCAAGGTCAACCTGAACTGCATAGTGAGACCCAGTCTCAAAAAGGCAAAAAATAAGTAAATTAAAATTTGGATTCTACAAGCTTACCTAAGGGTGGGCTAGAAAAAAAAATGGTATTTACTACACTCTTTGGTATTCAAAGCATTGTACGTTATTTAATTTGGCAACTCCAAAACTCCAATGAGAAGACAAAATCACGCAAAGTAAAGAAAATTCTCCTTATAAAGACACAAAGTTCTGGGATCAATTTGCCAAGACAATGCACAGCCCCTGCCCTGGAGACTGCCAGTCAGGTGAGGGGAAACATTTACACAGTCAAAATGGGGCTGTTTTCCCAAAGGGCTTAGGGGTACAGGAAGAAGCAATTAACTTTACATAAAGGAGCAACAGAGCACCTCCTAGAAGGCAGGAAGTCTGGGCTGCCCTTGGAGCACGAGTGGGAGTCCAGAGAGAACAGCAAAGGAAGGAAACGCCAGCTCAGCTCATGTGGCGAGGCTGGGTGCACCTCAACACTAGCACTCAGGGAAGGGTGACACGGGCACACTGCTCTGCTCCCAGAGGCTGAGAAGCACTAAAGCAGCCTGGGGATGTGCAAAGGAGACTGCTATGTCCCAGCCTTTAGCCTCTGCCGGGCTTGCTGAAACCCAGACCTGCACCCCGCCCATTCCTGAAGACCAGGACAGCCTCGAAATGTGTATTTCTGACACTCATGGTTTGGTGCGGGCTACTGACAGTGCTGGGCAGAGACCACAGGAGAATCACTGCTGCAGGCACCAAGAAGTCGCCACCCGAGACAGCAGGTGGCTCCTATGTTTACAGTGTAACTCTGACAGCAGCAGTGGATGAGGGCGGAAACCAGAGGAAAGGGGTTACTGAGTGGTAGAAGGGTAAGGAGACAGGAGTCTGAATTCCAAAAAGGGCCCTGAGTTGGACCCAACTGGGGAAAGAAATGGAGGCTGAATTGGGAGAACCAAAGATGCACGTGTGATGTCATGGACAGACGAAGCAAAGATAACCAGGATCTTCTGCTGCTGGTGCTATGAGGTCAATACTGTTCTCAGAAGAAAGCAGTCTGCCTTTATTTACACTGTCAGTGATCTCAAGTGCAATGTTCCTACCTCCACACCCTGTGTACTACTATGCAGGGACTGGTAGTGGGCTGCTAATAAACTACTAATGGGTCACTAGAAAAAAAAGCCAGTGGAGGAAGTCACCACTAGTTGGAAGGTTAAAATTTAGCCAGCAATCTCCCAAAACCCACAAGAAGTCCCAGGAAGCTGAAAAATGTTGTTCTTCTCAAGCAAGAGTTTGGAGTCTACAACAAGTCTAGAGAAGATGGCAAAATTATGGCCTGATTGTAAAGTCCTTTGTCTAAGTGAGTGACATTTCACAAAAGTTTCCAGTCTTCCTGAAACTATACTTTTATTATTTTCTGCCTTCACTCATTAATTCATTTTCCCCATGATGGTTTAAGTCAAAGAATGGTTATTAGAGCAGAATTTCATTTCATCCTGCTGGTGCCGGATTTCAGGAAGGAATTCTATAGGCTGATATTCCCGGCCTGCCTCTGTCATGAGCACAACAAATGAATGCTTTCTCTCTCAACTTCGCTGCACCATTCTTAGTGACTTCTACAGACATTATGCAAAATGTTCTTAGAAAGTTTTAAAGATAGCAGAAGAGATGGGACCTTATGTCGAGCATAAATCCACACTTGAAAGACAGTGGCAGAGCTTGGAATCTGCCTGGGGAAGCGGCTCTCCACTCACCACCATGAAGTACAGGACACAGTCGGCAGAGCACAGCATCTCGAAGACAAACGTTATTCTCCCCAGTTCTGAGCCTGTGGCTCCTGTCAGAGACGTTGGAGGTCTGTGCGAATGATTAAATTGCAGTACTTATGATCTAAATACCACGGGGAACAAAGTGAAGCCTTTCTGTCAAGCTGAAAACCATGCTCCCCTCTCCCATACCCTACCATCTCTCCCGTCCAAGCCTAACCCTTCTCCAAGGAGCCCTGCCTGTCCATGGCTCTTCCACCACTACCAGCCCTCCCAAGGCAAAGGCTACTATGGATCCCAAACAGGAAGAAACTCCTGCTGAAGAACTTGAACGCGGGGCCCTGAGGCAAAGGAAGATTAACAAATGTGTAATGCACTGCTTATAGACAGAGCTGGGATAAAAAACAAACCCTACAGTCAACCTTGACTGACTCATTAGCAAACAGGAGCTATGATTACTATAGCTTTGGACGCTAAAACTCTCCAGCTTAGTCTAAGGCACAAATAGCCAGCATGGTCATTCGCAGTCACTGGTACTTCAGCTATGGTTAAATACATCACTTCGCGACTGCTCATTTCTAAGTACGCTGTCATATTGATACCTTCTGTAAAGCCAGTGCTACTTCATCTATTTCTGGGGGGAAGCTGATGCAAAGATCCTCACAGAAAAGAAGCCAAGTGGGTTTTCCTTACTTAAACCCTGGGATGTGCAGGTTTAAGATGAGGTAGTCGTTATCAGAACCTCCAGCTCCACTCTGGATATGATCTCCAGCTACCTCCCAACCTAGAAATGACAAAAGCCATTTTTATTAATAAAAATGTTTTTAATGATTTCCAAAAATCCTTTTAAATCAAGCAAAAGTAACATGCAGAACAGGGATTTATGTTCATAGTTATCCATACTCCAGAGGAGCTCCAGGTTCCATGCAGTTTTAACTGCAGCAGAGCTGAGGCCCGGCAGGCAGCCCTGCACTCACCATTCATCCCGTCACACTTGGAGTTGCCCACGTTGAAACAGGAAGTTTTCATGTTCCCGGGAAGGACATTCCACCACTTGTACTCAAACCCCAGGGCTGGCTCTGTTCCCGCAGGACAGGGTCTGCACTCTGCATGACAGGAGGAGCATCCATCACACTGCCCATACCTGGATACCTTCTCCTTTTCCTCTTCCTCCTCCTCTGCCTCCTCACCTTACACACCAAGGCACCTATTCCCACGGGAATCAGGAAGTTCCTCCAAAGCAATCAGGAAGGGACTTCTGGACGTGTACATGTGGGTGCATCTGGCATTCTTTGCTTACTGCTTTGCAATAGATGTGCACATACTCAACATATTGGAAAGGGATAGCTGATCCTTAAACACTTACAAGTGAAATTTAAATTTTGCTTATCAATATCCAAAGGCAAATGCTTTGCCTTAAATCAGTGTTATACAAAATTACATTAAAGTAGCCACCCTTGCACCCTCAATAGAATATGTGGTCTCAAACTACATTCTTCAGTCTCTATGAGAAAGTTATCTTCTAAAGAGTTCTTCCATAAGAATGGCTTAGAACATGGTACAGCAGCCCAAGCAGACGTCTGCTGTGCTCTAACGCATGGCTCGCCAGAGACACCCTACCTACCCTTTGTGCCATCTGAGTATGTTCCAGGAGGGCAAGGGTGACAAGAGGAGGATCCATTATTGTGGAATCCAGGGTTACAGGGAGGACAATCCTTCTTCTCTCCAGAAGGGGGCAGTCGAATAGCATCTGTGAGGTCCTCCCTGCAGATTTTGGGCTCTATCCATTTGTACATTATCTGTGTCTGGAAAAAACCAACCAAGCAAACGTCACATAACATTCTCATAGTAAGGATGTAAAGCTGACAGCACACAAAATATGTACACAGTGGCAGAAGAGGGGTTGGCCGCAGAGGATCTGAAACAGCAATGACAAAATTACCTTGCAAACAACTATAGCCAAGCTAACGGCACCCTCATATCCCCTCGGGAAACCCCTCTCTAACGCGGATGATATGGTCACTGCCCATTTCCTCCTGTCCATCATTCACTCTGCCCCAGCTTTGGCACAGGGATTTATCCTTCTCATCTGAGACCACACGCCTTGCTGGTCTCCTCCGCTTGGCACATATCACCATGCCTTGCACACAAAAGCAAAACATTTTTATTCAGAGACAAAACTGAGCTTCACATTTTGATCCTAATAGTTCATCAACAATGACGCGTGCTCTCTGGGTCTTTATCTAGCCCTGACGTGAGACTCACAGCAACTCTGAAGGTTCCAGAACCCCAGCCATGGCTCTAGACTCATAAACACAGACACCCTTGCCTTCAGGACACCCCCCAACCCACCCCCACACACTCGCACAGGCACGCATCCCACATGGAACAAGAGCAGAGAACAGAGATTTAGCCAAACTCAACTAGTGTTGTCATCAAATTCTCATTTGAAATCAGAAATACAGAAAAGGTTAAAACAAAAGCACTATGTTCCGTGAGAAAAAAAGGTATTCTAACGCAAAACAAAAAGCAAGCTTTCATAACACAATGTAACTTTTTAAATAAGACTAAATGTCCCCTTTCTTAGACACCTAACCTGCTGAGGGTATTCACCCTGCCAGAGGAAGTGTCCTATAAAAGCTGGAGAACAAGTTCAAGAGATTCAGTATTGCGGCTTCCAGTCAGCAGAGAATCAGTACTGCAAGCCCACTCAGCGTTATCTCGAGGTCAATGAAGAGTAGACACCTCCATGAGGAGGGATGTTAAGACAACGTCTTAAAGGTAGAAGTCTTGCAGAATTATAAATAGTGTGCTTCTTTTTGTAACCCTCTCTCCACACTGATGCTGTGCTCCCGATGCACTGCCACTCCGGGAGCCCAGGCTCCTGAGCAGCCAGAAATTTACCAGATGTCCATTGAGCAGGCTGCCAAAATTGCTCATCGAAAGGCAATACAGAGGTCAAAGAATCTAAACAAATAAAACGGTGCTGTAAAAATTCTGACTTAACAAGTACAGAACACAAACTTCGATTTCTAGTTAATACCTGAATTTCCCAAGTAATTCTGGCATTGATTCAAGGTGTGATCTTATTCTATGTCCTTGGGAACAGCTGGTTTCCAGGTGGGACACAGACCACCACCACGTAACCTCCTGAGCCTGGGGAGGGGCGTATGCCAACCTCACATTTGCACCCACACAAGCACCCGCCCAAAAGTCATACAGGGCTGGAAAGTGGAGAAGCTGCACCTGTGGCAGGATCAGTTTGGAAAGGATAAAACCAGTAAACTACACAAATCCACTTTGAGATGCCATCTAGCTACATGATTTCCAACAGGAACAAGCAAGCTGGGATGAGGAAACGAACAACAGACACCTTTAAACACAGAAACCTGAGGAGTCACATTTCAAACACTGCAGAGCAAGCTGTGTTTACACAAAGCTGCTCGCCTTACAAGTGCAGGCTGTCTGCAACTCTCTCATGGGGACAGATGCTTCTCTATAGCTGCCTGGGAGACACAATAATCAATATTTATGAAACCTCACACCAGATGGCTCCCAGAGCAGGTGAAACACCAACAATCAGCTCATTCTGGGCCAAGTTGAAACACAATTGTGCAATGTTTTTATGAAACCAAAACTCTAGCAGTGTCAAATTTTATTGCATTTCTATTAAGATTACAAAAGAGCAATTTACACTACTTACAAAAGCGTGTTTATGCTAAGCACGGAATCAGCACACCAAGGGCCTAGTGGAGCTCAGGGCAGAGCACTGCCTGGCGCCTACAGGCGCTGGGTTTGACCCCATCGCAGGGGAAGAAACGTGGGAAACAAGCAGAAGCCAATTCTCAGGCCAAACAAAATCTGAGAGGATATGACTAAATTCAGACAATTTCTGAGGCTGGATTTGTCCACAGCAGCCTGGCTTGTTCCGCAGAAGTCACTGCACGAGTAGGAAGGCCTGTGGCCTGGCTTGGCTCGGCAGCACCAGATTCCACCTGCCGGCACCGACACCTGGCCCAGGTCTGCCCAAACACTGATCTCCCCAGCTTGGACTCCCACCTGCAATGCAGGTCAGCAGTGCTCCTGGGACAAAAGCCCAGGAAGACTGTGTGGGTGGGGACTGTCTTGGGAAGGAAACGAAGGAGGGAAAAAAAACTCTGACTCTGTGCTTGCCAGTCCTGAGACAGCTTGGCCCCTGCTTCACACTGCTGGGAGTCAGGATCCCTGTCCAACTTCTGAAAACCTCTTAACTTTACTTAGCACAAGATTTCATAATTATTCCAAGTGTGGAAGCAAAACTGTCATTGTGCTCTTCCACCAGTGAGGGATTCCTGTGGCTCACGGAGGAGAAGCCCCCATCACTACCCACTTGGATCCACACATACCTCTGCTGAGGCTTAGTGTCCAAAGTAAGTAAGTCAAAAATCTTGCTGAAAGCTGCTCACTACCCATCAAAAATGACCCATCCCTTTGACTCCAGCAAGTCAATCTGAAACCACCTTTAAGACTTGCTTTTGGAACACAGTGGCACATGCCTATAATCCCAGCACTCAGGAGGCTGAGGCAGGAGGATCACTAGGAGTTTGAGGCCAGCCTGGGCTTCAAAGTGAGTTCAAGTCTAAACTATATAACAAAACCCTCTCTCAAAAGACCAACAAAATAAAAAAAAAATAAAAATAAAAAAAGATTTACTCCACTCTCCCCCAGTCCCAGAGCAGCTCAGGAGGAAATTCAGCATCTGCGTTTTGGGGGAGGCCTCCTCATCCCTCCGAACAGAGCTGCTTTTTTCTCTTTGGTAAGACAAATCTTGGATCCCTTAGAAATCTTTTTTGCAAATGAATATTTTCTCTTTTCAGCTATTAGTTTGAGTTATTTTCAGCTATTAGTTTGAGTTACTTTTCTTATTGAAAGTGATAGTTGTACTTCTTAGCATTGAAATTTCTCACTACTTTAAATGAGAATGTACTCGCTCTTAAGCATTCAAATGAGTATTTGTTTTATGATTAATAAACCCAGTGATGCACAGTTAAGTCCTAATTTTACAAATATCTGTCTGTCATTATAAGAAGGACTGCAGGGGACAGCTGCTGTAACTTCACTTTTTGTGGTGACACCGGCCCACACAGGCAAACTCCCTAATTAAGGGACTGGCGGGTTGGCCCAGGGTTCATGCACATATCTTTCCTCTAGATGTCATTTGCATGGTAATTGGTACACATTTTCTAATACAATTACACAGCAATCCATGATAACAGAATTAGCCTAGGCTGTACAACTTCTATGGCTAGAACCTGAGTAGCCAGATAATTAAACAAAATGACAAGGTATTTCCAGCCTCTTAGCTGCAGTATAAAATCCAAAGCCATGCTCTTCCTGACATAAATGCAGCAGTAACTCATGGAGCACTCCCCTCGTGCCCACACAGCTCGTATATTCTCACAGCTACCACACTGCACTGCCGACCCACTGTACAGGTGAAAATGCCGAGGCTTACAGACATCACATAACCTGCCAACAGAGCAAACAGGTGGCAGATCTGGAAGTAAAGCCAGCACAGGAGCCTGCACGCCTGACCCTGAGATCTCCTATGGCCTTTGTAGACACATGTCACGAGCAAGGTCTTCCGTGAGCACCCGGAGAGTGAGTGGACAGGGCAAGGGGCAGGGCAGACGATGCGGGGGAGTCAAGCGCCATGGGTACCTTGCCTTCCTGGTCACAGGCTGTGTGGATCTGGAAATAGTCCTTTGTGGTGCAGGGAGGGCGCTCCGTACACTCGCTGGACCCTTCCTCTGCAACACAAAACAGCATCTCAGAAGCCGGCCACCACCTCTGTGGCTCGAGGAAGGGGCGAAGTGAAAAATCCTGGCCAGAGCAATTTAGGTGGATTAATTCTCCCCAAAGAAAGCAAGGATCTACATTTCTAATTCCCGTGGGAAAATAAGGGTTTCCCTGAGCATATCATGGTTTCTCCCAGAAAACATACGATTTCTTCCATGATCAGCAAACACTGGAAATCTGGAAAAATTAAAATTAAGTACTCTCCATGCCAACATGCTGTCTGAAAGTCGACAGTGGTTAGCTGATGGAACACACCCATTGCACTTACTTGCGGGGCACAGACCAAGTGTAAGCCACAGACAGCAGGGGACACACAGGAAGGGGTGACTGAGGCCACGTTCGCCCAGCACTTGGTGACCAACCACTATGGCCACCTTGTGCTGACCTGCGACCTGGAGCTCTGGAATACGGCACGGGGGTGCACCCACCTGAAAACTGGGAGTCCTCGTCACAGCGCATGCACTCCGTGGCGCCCTTCTCCGAGTAGGTGTTCCGGGGACACACCTGGCAGCTGAAGGCACCTGGCTTGCTGCTAAACGTGCCAGCCTTGCAGGGGAAGCATTCGGAGGTATAAGCCACCCCTGTGTGCACACGGGAAGAGGGCATGCAAGGGGAACCCCAGTCAGCAAGCAGCTCACTTCCACATGAAAGCGCCCTTCACAGGACAAGCCCTCACCCCCGCCCCTAATCCAGCACCGTGAGAGTACTGCTGTGTACGAGCGACAGACACACATCATGTGAAACAGGAGAGGTCAAACAAACATTTAACATGGGATTCAACAGAGGTAAAGCAACCACCTGACTTACAGAGACAGCTCCACGCACTGATGCAGGAGGTGGCACAGGTGCCCACAGCATGACCCATACTGCACTCCGGTGGGCCTCCATCAGAAGTTCCCTTTCCTTCCCCCGAGCTCCCAAATTCCCTAAATCCTAAAAGGCCTCAGAAATGACTTGGCTCTGGTTTATAATTCCAGCTTTGGCCAGCAGATGTCCCTTAACTAATTCACTAATGTCACAGGAATAAGCACTCAGGACATACTAAGATACAAGCAATCTTTACTAAAGAAGAACATCTGCTCTAGTTAAAAGCATCTTGAATTGAGGACAAAGCCAGCCAGTGTGGATGGGCTCCCTACTGGGGCAGAAAGGACCCTGCAGTCAGGAGCCTGGCCCTTTGCACTGGTGTTTAAGGTAGGGGGGACCAGACATCCACTAGCAGAGTAGGCTGATGCCTGGCACCCTGGGCACTGCACAAATGTAAAACTGGCCACTACGAACACAAAAGCTTTTACTTTAAGGCATCTAAAGTGATCCCCTCACTCACTTCTTCACACAGAGTAAAAATTCACTTTAAGGGTACAAGGAAAAGGGAAATCAAAATGAAGCTACTGGAAAGTAAGCCAGGGCCTCTGGACCCGCGGGATCTCTCGTGGGTGTTCCTTACTTTCTTCTAAACCTCTGAGCCAGGCAGGCCACTTTAAGGACTGTGCTCAACAAAACCGGCTGGACAGGGGGCTGGCTGCTGACCTTCAATGGTGATGTTTTTCACTAGCACAGGCTTGACAGCTTTGGAGCCCATGAGGATGCCAGTGGTCCTCCAGTAGAGGATGTTCGTGCCCGACTTCAGCATCACCTGGGGAGAGATGAAGAATGCACAGAGGAAGCTCCTGGTAGCATGTCCCTAGCAACCGCTCCCACCCTGCCCAACCATGCCCTCCCAGGCCAACTGGGCGCCACAGCCAGGCCCTGTGCTTCCAGCCGTGAGCCACACAGATCACCGATCGCTGTGAGGTTCCTGGGCCCTTCACTGCTGACACGGACTCTCTTAAAATCCACCCCCCAGCAACAGCACTGTTCCTGCCGTCACTCAACTGAAGCTTCTGACGCCAGGTTTTGCATGACACCCAGTCCCACACTGCCCTGCAGTGAACACTCCTCTAATCATGAATCCAACTACTTTATCCTTACACAGAGGGCAACCTTAATTCTTGCCTTCTCCTCCACCATCTTCCTCTACGCATGCCCCACCCGGGCAAACTGTGCTGTAAAAGGATGAAGGCCACCCCAGGATGGCGGTACCCTAGGCAATTCCTCTTGAGTGAAGGCAGGGTATCTGTGGGCAAGGGCGCCCTGTGCTGTCAGGGCCCACCCGATGGGGTCTTGATGTGTAGACCCCAAGAGGTGCTGGCACTAACCTCACGCACACAGATGAATGAGACCTCTGAGAGGACACAGTGATTCTCCTCTCCAAGGGAGGCCCCTGCTCCAGCACAGAGGCCAGGACTGTGTGGCTCATTCCAATAGAGCTCAGGCTACACTGCAGGCACCACAGGCCTTGCCCACACATTACCGTGCTTTGCCCAGTGAGACTGCCCCCACTTCTAGGAGAAAAAGCTTCAGCTGTGAGAGGATTAAATGAACAACCTAGAGAAACACAAAAGCTGAGGCAGAGCTGGGTTTCAAATCCATGTCTTCCTCCAGAGAAACACTGCCTTGGATAATGACAGGCTCCAAGGACCCTGTTATCTGGCAGTCCTGTCTGCCTTGTGAAGCACACAAGGTCTTCAGATGACCAGAGAGGCAGGGTTTTGCCCAACAGGTGGCAAATGCACATGAAGCAGGTCAGGGCTTCCAATGGGGGAATTTCATCAGAATCCAGCCATCCAACAATGGCAACCACACAGGACTCAATGAAACAAGTCTGAAAATCACTCAATGGACACTGCAGAAAAAGCTACAGGAAGAGGAGTCAAGGTCTCCCCAGTTCCAAGGCCCTGGTCCCACTGCCTGTGACAGGCACATCTGTAAACCCCCAGGTGAGCTGCAGGATCCAGTGCATCATCCCTAACATCTCTCCTGCCAGGGCTCCCTGTGGCCATAGGGGAGGGAAATGGGTGTGGGGGTAAAGCCAACGGGAAGGAATCCGTGGGAACTGGGAAAGCCAAGGTCTAGAAAATGAACTAAAAACAGGACTCAGGGTTCATGAAACTTAAAGGCAACTTCTTGTTTAAATGAAGATTTCCTTAATAGAAAAACTTGCCCTTTTTGTTCACTTAAAATATACACTTAGAAAATGTTAGGAAGAGAAAGGAGGAGAAGGAGACGGGGTGGAGGGCAGGAAGAGTGGACTCACCGAATGCGAGCCCCACTCTCCGCTATCCGTGAGCTTCACCCACTTGTCGGTGGCAGAGTCCATGTCCCGGCACTGGTCGTTCTGAATCTACAGGTCAAACACAGGGCTCCTGGTGAAGCCCTGAGCCGAGGCAATCATCACACCATGGCAGCTGGGGTGCAGGGTGCCCTCTACGTGTCCCAGCCACTGTGCACCCCGAGACCTGGCCCAGGAACAGCTGCACGAGAGAGACCCCAAGAGCCAACTGGCTGTTAATAAAACACCAATCCCATTAGGGAGAGAGAGGGGACAGCTGTGACCAAAGTCACAGGGAAACCGACCCAGCTGATCTCCATGTTCCAGTGGCCTGCGCTCACCGTGCAAGTCCAACAATGAAAAACAAAGACAGGTGATTTTTATCTTTGTGGCAGCAAAATTTTGAGTTAGTAAAGTGGGCTTTATTCAAATTCCTGAGGACTTAACTCAAATGTGCAGCTGAGCAGTAATGACCAAAGTACTGACTTTTATTTATGGATAAATGTTAATCACTTGGTGTGCCATTTCAGGTATCTTGAGTGTTCAACACTTTCTAATTTCCCAATAACTCTTCCAAGATACCAAGGGCTTAGGATGCTACTTTTCCAGTTCTACAAAGAACAGAAAGACTTTGAAAAGTGAGGCTGTCTTTCCAGTTCTGTACAACACCCAGTACAGCACCATCACTGGAGACAGCCATTCCTCTCCTCCAATCATTCTGCTGCCTCCCTCATCCCACTGACCAATGCGCAGACATTAAAGCATCTCTGTGAGAGACACTGTCTAAACACGCACTGGACAGGTCCTCTTCCCTCCTGACACCAGAGAACATCTGCCCGTGTTGGGTTTGCACTCCGAGAACAACCAGCACGTTAAGGTGGCTGAGTCACCCGAGGCTGGGATGGACCCTGCATGCCTCTGCCTGGTGTGCAAAGGAGCTGAATCCACACACCCTGAGCTCCTGCGACAGCCATGCTGTGTTGGAGACTGAAACAGGAGCAGGTGTATCTTGGTCCAAGCACTTACTTTCTCTAGGTGTTTCACCCTTTTTAAAAAATGGTATGGACGAATAAAAGTCCACACAGCTCTGAAACTAAATATTGCTTTCGATTAAGAGCTCAACTACATCTTTCAGCCTTTGCACTTCTCTGTCCTGTTAACCATCAGGACAGTAATTGTCAAGTACTAGCTTCCTCCCCACCCCCAGTCAGTCAGTGCAGGGGGGGGGGGACCCAGAAAATGTTGGCAAAAGCAGCGGAATCTGCCAGCCCTTTTAGGCTACTTCTAGAGGAACAGAGGTGTCCTTAAGAGGAAGCAAAGAAGCAAACATCAGCTTGAAGTGCGCTGACAGCAGCTCTGGGGCCTCACTGGGCAACACAAAGCTAAGCCCTGACTCCAACCTTCAGACAGTGATCTGCTTGCTCTGTAGTTTTAATGACACTTTAAATGTCTCAAGAACTGGAGAATCATTCATTCTGAGAAGTGTTATGCAACGAAAATGTAGTTCGCCCATTGCTTAGTATCTCAGACGCCTTTGAGGCATCAGTGCGAGGCTCTCGGAGCAGCAGGGACAGGAGGGCCAGCCTCGCTGCTCAACACCATGTGGGGACCAGACCCGAGTCTCTGAGCTCAAGCTAAGGCTCACATCCTACAGAAAACGCCATTGCCACTAAACTTCTGATTCAGGTGCTCTCCTTACTGAGGGTAGGCCCTGCATGCCAGGGTTAGCAAGCCTGAAAACACCTTGGCCACTGAAGCCGAGAAACAAACACCCTCTCAGCTTAGCATGGTCTGCGTGGACTAATGAGACAGAGCTAGTGGTTACCCTGTGGGTTTGCTATTGTGTCCTGTCCTGAGCTCCCGCTATTTAATTAGGCCAGAAACACCAAGGGTTCCTGATCCTTGTAGACTTCATTAAATTCACAGAAACCACAGGCATAGGGCCACTTCTGTTCTTGAAATAACTACCTATGAATACACTTGAATAATTCTAGTCAGTAAAACAATCTTCTCTTTGAAATCCTCAAAGAAAAAAAACATTTTAAATGAAAACTAAAATTAGCGGAAGTTTTTTTAACAAAATGCTTTGTGGCATTTACAGCCATAAAAAATGAATGTAAAATGAATTTGGGGGAAAGTACTAGCCACATGGTCTAAATAAAATCATCAGATGGGCACAACACGAGGTGACAATGTTGCATTCTCTGCCACAGTGGTGCAGAGGGCTAGAACCCTGCAGGAAAATTAACTCGCTTTAATATTAATCTGAGGCAGAAAGTGGATCGTGGGTTAAGGAAATTTACACGAGGGCCAGGGATACAGCTCAGCAGCACAGCACCTGCTGTGCAAGCATGAGGCCGTGGGCTCAATTCCCGGCACCAACAAACTAAAATACAATAGATAAACGGTTTTTTTAAAGGAAAATCTCCATAAATGTCCCTTAAAAAGAAATTCCCTATGATGAATATGATCATTATGTGTATCTTAACTGTAACAATAAACTTAAGAAAGAAAAGAATATGGAAAGCCTTACAAAGAACTCAAAGAAGATGTTGTTGTCGACATACTGGTACTCAAAGAAGACGTAGCCAGACTTCTTCAGGTGCACGGCGTAGATCAGCGACACCGTGCAGTCATCACGATTCGACTCGATGTAGTTCCCACGCGGGGTCCAGGAGGAGCTGAGGAAACAATGCCCGCCAGGCAGGGGTCACGCCAACGCCTGGCAGGGCCATGCCAGCATCACGCCAGCACCACGTCAGCACCGGGCAGGGGTCAGGCCAGCACCTGAGCATCAAGGCCACACCTCTGGCCACAGCCCTGAAATGCTTCAGGGCGCCTACACAGCAACGCATACCGGAGAGACCAGGATCTAACATCTCAAAAGTGAATTCCATTACTGAAAAGTCTTATTTTTTATGGCATAGGACTTCTCAATTTTGTAAGGCTGTGTGATCCATTTGGTATTAAATCGCTATTTTTTATAAAGCATTTGATCACCAACAAGGTGACCACTATTACCATGAGTAAAATTGTTCTATGAAACAACACTCACATTTTACTTATATCATACACACGCACATGTGCACACATACTGCAAATATATGGAAAACAAGACAGCCCCAGCAATGGTAAGGAAATAGACATATAACACTGTTTTCTCATACATTGTTCTGCAAGTCATGGATCATAAGAATTGAAACTCTTGTGAACTATGGAGTTGGTTTTTAAGTTCCTAAATCTTGTTATGGTTAGTTTTTTTAAAATTGATTATTTAAAAACAGTACCATCGTATTTCAGGGTTTATGACATGTTTCTAAATACAATATCCACAGATGAGGATGTAAATGTACCAGTACTGCTACAGAATTTAACATATGTCAAAGCACAAAGTCTCTGTCCTCAGAATACGAGTTGCCATTTCCACCCTTTACAACCTTAGGGGAGGAAAGATGCCCTAAAATATGTTTTTAAAAAACCACTAGCTGCATTGGAAAACAATTTCTGAGTTGTACTTTTTTTAAGGTTTAAACTTCTGGTTATCAAAAAGCACCCTTAAAATAAGCAGGCAGGTGGCGTGCTGGTGCATACCTGACCTGTAATCCCAGCACTCTGCAGGGACTGAGCCTAGGTGGCAACGTGACGACCCAGTGGGATCCTGTCTCAAAATCAGAATAATTTCAAAAAAGGAGTGGGGATGCTGTGCAGTGAGAGGGCCTGCTGTTTAATCCCAAGTACTGCAGAAGGCAGGGAGGGGAAAAGAGGAGGAGAGGAGAAGAGGAAGGGGAGTGGGGAAGGCAAAGGGCAAACCCCACAGATTTGGAGGACACGGGTGTGTGTACATAGTGGAAGTGCACATTAGGCACAAATACTCCTGTCATAACATACAAAGAACTTTCCTGGATCCGTGATTAGCTCTGATATATGACCCAACCAATTAAGAAGAGAACATAAGGTCAGATGGGTAGAAAAAGGGAGAGAAAAAGAAAAGTGGCAAACTTAGAGATTTACATTGAGACAATTTCACCAGGGAGACTGCTGCTCAACAGTGAGTTTCTTCATCTACTCCATGTAGAAAAAGAAGCCATATCGACATTTCCTGCCCACCACAACAAAGATCACAGTCCATGCATCCTACTGGCACCTGACTCTAAAGAACTATGTAGCAGAGCACAGAGTAGGCCAGCACTCACCCTGCTGTTACTCATGATGATCCCTGCCAAATTCACGGATGTACTGAAAGCATTAAGATCCTTGAGGGAGCGCTAAGAGCACTGAGAAAGCACCAAGAGGACTGAGCAAGTACTTACAAGTACCAAGGAGCACTGAGAGAGCTGGAGGAGGCCACTGACCATGGCAGCCTGCACTTCCTCAAGGCCATGCCTACAGCTGTATGAAGCCCTCTTGAGAAGCCAGGTAGATGCCACCACTGCTCTCAGAACCACAGAACTGTGACCCAGTCTCATGTTGTCATAGGGAAATAAAGCTTTGGAACTCAGTGGGAAACATGCAGGAGCCAGGTTCACTGGGCAGGAAGGGAGGAGAAAGGAAGAGTGGAGGCCTGGGGAGGCTCCGGCAAAGGCTGGCAGCAGCGGGGTAGATGCCTTCCAGCCGGGCTGGGCATCCCCACACCCTCAGACTCTGCAGAAAGAGGGGAGGAGCTCCTGGGACAGCTCTCCTCCAGTGAGAAGACAGCCCGGGACCTGAAGTTCAGCCCTCTCCACACAGCCACCACAGGAGAACAGAAGGCGGCAGCCCAAAGAAAAGCCCAGCTTTGTTTTTTGAGGCCATTTAACAATCTGCAGAGTTGTCAAGGGAAGACCAGGCCCACTCCAGGAAGCAAGCCAAAGTGTTCCCCCTTGAGCCCAAGCCACACCCCCATGGGGTGCATTCTCCCCTCAGGAAAAGGATCCGAATCCACCCTGTAACAGCTGAGAAAGGTTGGCAGCACACCCGGACTCCAGGGCACTGCTGTTTCGAGAAAGGAAACGTGCTTCCCTGACGGCCTCACTACAGCTCTGCAGACAGCACCTGCTGCACACACCGAGGCCTTTACCTCAGCCCCGTGAGAATGCACCAGTGCACCTCTGCAGTTCTGGTCCTCGAGGCCCAAAGGACCAGGGTCGGGCTCGGATCCCTCCTGGAGTTCGCCATCCTGCCCCAGCCTCTGGCCTCTTACTTGCTGCAGCTGTCTGGCCTGCTGTCCAAGGGGCCCAGCACCGTGTCCATGAAGGTGGCCACATTGGAGAACCCAGCTGGCAGCTCGTCCCACTCGTCGAACTTGATGCCGCTGCCCAGGGAGTAGGAGCCCTCAGCGCACTTGCTGCACACCTGGTTCCGCATCTCCAGGTACTCACCGGAGCCACAGGAGAAGGCTGCAAGGCAGAAGGCGACCTGTAAAGCCTGCCCAGCGCCACTTTCATCTTGCCCCGGCCAACCTACTCTGTTCAGCTCCCCCTGCCTCAGCCTCACTTGTTATGCCCAGCACGTTCCTCCATCTGTCATGCTTTTCCTTCCTGATTCTCCGCCTGGAGCCTGGCCCTGGCTCCACAGTGTCCCTGCTCTGAGGACCTCGTCCCAGCCCACTGCAGGCAGGCAGCTGTCCAATGGCACCTTCCTGAGACACCGCCTTTAAGCACTCATGGAAGAGACACTTAGTAGGGGACCTGTGGGTTTCAGCTTTTTAAAAAGTCACAAGTTAGACATCCCAGTTGCATCTGCCCATGCTGGGTCCAAATAAAATGCTAATAGGGTACAAGAGAACTCAGCATGAGGCAGTGCAGGAGGGCAGTGTGCCAGTGAAGCAAGTCACTTCCACTCTGAAGCCGAAGCCCATGCTTCCAAGGCTCACAAACTGGCAGCCCACAGCCTCAGGCAATCCCTGGGCCAGGTTCCCTGCTCCCCCCATGAGCTCTACCCAGAGACGGCATCTACTTCCTGCCAGGGCTGTCTGGGTACCAGTGTCTCCAAAGACATGGCTCTGCTCAGGGCAGTACCACGACTGTGCCCTAGACTAGGGCTTTCTAACCCATACCAGAAAAAGGAGGGCAGAGTGAAATGGCCCAGTATCCCGATGCAGGGAAACAGCCTGCCCAGCAGAAAGTAAAGCAGAGCGCTCACACTGCCAATGGCCCCTCTCTTAGGTTACAGGGGAAACAGAAACAGCTGATGCTGAGCAAACTAAAGAATCAGCTAAGCCCACCCGTGTCCAGTGCCTTAGCCACTGAATCGAGTGCATCCCTTCAGAAAAACGGTGATGCCGTGCGATGACTTTCAACATCTGAATCAACATCCACAAACCGAGAAAACTTCAGACAAGGGTCAGGCAAGCGCTGTACACTGGCCTCAAGGGCAAAACTGTGGAAGGAGGAGAGAAGACACCATCCTGGCCAGGCAGTACCACTTCCTAACTGCAGCCTCGAGTAGTTCTGCACCTCCCCAACCCTTGCTTCTGTCCCTAGAACAGGAGATGATTCTCACATCGCTGCCTCATCAGGCTCCACCGGGAAAGTGGACGTGAACTGGCTGCCACAGCACCAGCACTGAATAAACAGTCTCCATGCGCTTCTATTAGAACTACCTGGATGGTCACAAAGAACTACAGTTATAGGGGAACTTCGACTGTTTCAGAGGCATATGGGTCTTCAGAACCGTTTCTTTAGTATGATAAATAGTATTAGAAGTTATAGGGTAGCATTACATTAAATCGAAGCTCAGCAAACTATAACCTGCAGGCCAAGTATGGTGTTCAGCTTGCTTTTATCAATAAAGTTTTATTGAAACAGGGCCACAATTTCCTTTATATATTGGCTCTTTTTACACCGTAATAACATAATTGATGCAAAAGAGAAGCTTGCCAAAGAGCTGAACATAACTCCAGTCTGAAAAAAATAAAGTGAATTTGGAATACTATTTCATCTGGAATCCAAAGCTGAACTTAATTTATCATTTAATTTATAATTAACATGAATTAATGCATCAATAACTTAAGAATATTTTATGTTATAGTAAGAAACTATAAAAACTAAAAAGAAAACATGACCCTCCTCTGTTGAGCACATTGACTTTGCTTCAGTGTTCACCACCCTCTAACATCAGGAAGCAGACTCCATAGGAAAGACGGGGCCGAGAGACAAGGTGACTGAGAACACCAAGTCCCTCTGACAGGAAGTCCTGCACTCAGTACTCCGTGGACACAGGAAAGTGCTGTTCACAAGAGTTCAGCTGCTGAGATCACTGAAGGACTGGACCCTGAGCCACTGCTTCAAATGGGGTCCAGCCTCCACACACAATCAGCACCAATCTGACTGTGTGCCCCCTGCCTGGGTGGGCCTCGCCCCCACAGGCAGCGGGCAACTGAGCGACTAACTGACCTACTGACTGACCTAGCCAAGGCAGCACTACACCCTCACCTCTACACAGCAGGGCGCAGCTGGGACATCAGCATGACCTTGGCAAGGCTGCTGGACATGGCAGGACAGAAGTGCCCCATCAGTAAAAAACGAAGATGTTAAAACTATGGTGACGCGCAGACCAAAAAAGAGTCGCTGGGTACAGTTTGACAGGTGATGATGTCACTGGGCCACAGTAAGTAGCAGCAAGGTTGGAGAGCCAGGCGTGTGGCACACACCTGCAATCTCACTACTAGGGAGGCCGCAGCAGGACAGCGAGTGCAAGGCCAGCCTGGGACGTACAGCCAGCTCCCTGTCACATGAGAAAATTTCAAGACAGCCAGAAGAAATCAAGTTCCCTGGGTTTAATCTTAGCACCAAAAAATGAAAGTGCTTTGTGAATGGGCGCCGATCCCTGCAGACAGAGCATGTCCTCTGGTTCTGTGGCAGCGGCCTGCGCTGACGGTGCCTCCCTGCCCCAGCCTACCCCCAGCACCCATTACCCTGTATCTCCTGGGCCACTGCACTGTCAGCAGACATACTAGCATGCACTCAGAACCAGTGATGCTCACTCGGCTGCTTTGCCAGGTTCTAACCTGGCCACGTTCCGTCTCACCTGGACAGGAGCCCTGGCCAGCCTCACACATGCTCCTGCTGGCCAGGCACCCTCCCCTGCTGTCTCTTGCCATGTGCAGCTCCCATCTGCCAGGCTCCACTCATCCACTGTTCTGCTGCTTCAATGTGGAATCAAATGCAGAAAGGCCCTGCAAACTGAGGTCACACAGCTGTCCCGTCTCCTCCAGGAGTGTCAGCTGCAGCTGTTAAGCTTACACTCTTCAAATATTTTGAACCAATTTTTAATATCGTGAGAGTTAAAGGCCCAGCTTCACTCCATGTATGGGGACATCAGTTTTCCCAGCACCCTTGATTGAAGAGACTATTCCATTCCAACTGTGGTTTTGGCATCTTTGTCAAAAACTAACTGCCAATCAATGAATGGGTTCATTCCAGACTCTGTTCTGCTTGGGCCAATGTGTCTGTTTTGGGCTGTACGTTTACGTAAGTTTCCTACAGAACCATAGAAATCAGCCTGGGGTCCTACTGCCTCTTGGTTCAGAGCCTGGTCCTTAGGATGGTGTTGCCGCTCAGTGACCATGGGGGAGCACGGCCACTGTGAAGCTGGGGTGCCCCGCCTCCGTCTGGAGACTCCGGGGAGGGCCTGGTATCTACCGGACGATCCTGGTGGGCTTTATGGTCTGCAGGAAGCATGGCCTAAGATCAGGAGCGGACTTGGGGACCCGTGCACCTGAGCCGGACTCTGCTCCTCGCTACACAGCCCATGGTGGCCAAGACGTTGCAAGGGGAACTTGAAAGAGCTATACCCTGAATGCATATTTTTAAAAATCTCATCAAGCAAACCAAAACAGTATTTTCATGAGAATTTCCATTTTCTTTCATTTCCAAACTGTATCATTGACATCAACAGCTATTACTCCACCAACCACCATTTTACTTTTGCGGGGGGGGGGGGACAATACTGCAATGACAGTTGATGATCCCCAGCTCTTTTTTATTTTATATTTATTTTTGAGACAGTGTCTCACCAAATTGCTATGTGCCAAGGCTGGGGTTGGATTCTCCTGCCTCAACCTCCCAGGGTGCTGGGATTACAGGTATGTCCCACCACATCCAGCTCATCTATTAAATTTAAAAAAGAACAACTTCATCGAGGTACAATTGCCATATAACATGCTGTGCATATTTAATATATAATTTGATGAATCTGGAGGTAAGTATTCACAAACCCAGCCCCACAGTGCATGCTACAAACCTACCCATCACCTCCAAGCTTCTTCTCACAATCTGCGCGTGTTTTTCGCATGAAAAAGCATTCAACATAAAATTACCTTCAGGAAAAATTAAGCATGAAACAGCATTGCTAACCACGGCAGCATGCTGTAAGAATCCAGGACGGTTCCTTAGGTGTCACTCAAGCTCGGTAGGCCCTAACTACCATGGCTTGTCCTCTCTCCCAACCTCTGGAAACCACATTCCACGCTGCTGCTGGGTTTGGCTGTTCAGACTCCTGCTGTGAGCTGCATCATGCAGCGTATGTCCTTCTGTCTGTCTTACTTATGATGTCCTCCAGCTTTACTTCCCTTTAAAGGGCCCATGACGTGTGCAGGAAGTGTACACTGAGTCTTCTCACCCATGAGACTTGTGATGGCCACGCAGGCTACTTCCGAATCAGGTGACTGTGGGTAACTTTGGCAGTACTGGACTGCAGAGACCCCAAAATCTGACTGCACTCCCCTCAACCATACTCATAGTAGGTCTTCTAGATTGTATGCTCGTTCTGTTTGACATAGCTGAAGAACTGCTACACTGCTTTCTATGGGGACTGGACCAATTTACACATCCGCCAAAATTCTCCCAGGGCAGGCTCCTCTCCACGTCCTTCCCAACATTTCACAATTTATCTTTTCTCTTGGGGGAGTCACAGACACTGTAACAGATGTGGTGCTGTCTCAATGCAGTTGGACTTCTCTGGTGACTAATAGTCTCGAGAACTTTTCACATGCCTGATGTAGCCACTTGTGAGTCTTCTTTATTTAGGGTTTTCTGTTCAGGATTTTTTCTGATGGACTTGGGGGGGGGGCTTTAAAAATTTTGGGGGGTACTGAATGAACCCACGGTCTTCACACTAAGCTACATCATCAACCTTTTTAAATTTCTTAAGGCAAGTCTTTACTAAGTTGCCCAGGACAGGAACAAATGTATGACCCTCCTGTCCTAGTCTCAGACTGCTGAGATGACAGGTGTGTGCCACAGAACACCTACCTGCCTCTTCCCATTTTTAACTGAGTTGTCATTTTACTGTTGACTTGAGGGTTCCCTGTATATATTGGAGATTAACTTCTTATCAGACATACAGCTTGCAAATATTTTCTCCTATCCCATAGGTTATCTTCTCATCCTGTCAT